TATTAAAAACTAAAATTTATTTGTTTGTAAGCTTAAAATAGATTCTTATTAACCATATATTATTAAAAATGCATTAATAAATAAAATACAGAACTGGGAATAGTAATTTATAGTTTAGCCTAGTGACAAGTAGATTCGGAGACAAGTAAATTCGACTTACGTCGTTTTTCGACTTAAGTCGTTTTCCTGGAACCAATTACCGACGTAAGGCGAGGTATACCTGTATTTCATCCAGGCAGAGTCGAGTCTCTATTTATAGCACTTTTTAGTGATGGTTTCGGTTTGAGGTGACAGAACATTTTGCTTTTAATATATATGTTAGGGTGTCCCTTATTTTTTGAATATTTTTTTCTAATGCATATGGCCTAGTTTTGTTTATTCTACCCTTAAATACTCGCACAATAAATTTCAGCTTATTTTGGTCACTAGAACCCATGTTGACTTGCATCAAATCACGTCCATAGATGTTCCACTAGAGAAGTGGAGTGTATTCGCTTTGTTTGCCATTCTAACACAACTTGTCAGGCTATTAACACATATAGTTTTAATTTTTGAAGATGTCAGTGGAATTACGAAGTGCTAAAAAACACATTTTCTTAGTCAGAGAGATAAACCACAAAATCACGGGTGCAAAATTACTGTCAAATCGGCAAGTACTTGCAGTTTTGTTTTTTAACATTTGCAAAGTTAAATTAACTGTGAGTGAAAGCGCAAATCTTGTAATATACAAGTGTATCATATTTTGGGAAAAAGCTAGAATACCTACAAAATCTATACCTAACTGTGTCAAGAAATTGATGGATCTTTATCACGTGTGGAGAGAGGTGCAAAAAAAAAAAAACAATAAGAAAATTCAAGATGTTTATAAGCACCGCGAGAAAACTTTCCAAATAGATTTAGATAAATTATTTGATATTGCACACACCGATGCCCTCAAACATATGACAATACAGGAAGATAAAAAAATTCTTACAGGAACAGAGAGAACCAGGGCATCCGGGCTGCATGGCAGATGTAGATGAAAAATTGGCCAAAAAAGAAGAAAGGGCAAGGCAAAGAAAAATAGAAGTAGAGAGAAAAAGGCTCAAAAATATTTCAATGAAGGCTGCATCAACTTCTTCAATATTGCACGATTTATCACCACTCCAGGAACTATACGACATTTCTCATAGCTCTGACAATAGTCCGGATGAGCTTTTTTCTCAGGAATCGAATACTGTGCCAGCTGAAGCTAATGTAAATAGAGGAAGAAAGTATTTCATTATGCTGAAACTAGTTGCAGCCTTAGACAGATGCCAGTTGAGCATTACAGATTACGTTTATATTCTTCACGCTACAGTGGAAGGACTAGGTATTAATGAATTTCGTGCTAATGAGTTAGGTATAGATTTTGTAAATTTTTTAGCTTTTTCCCAAAATATGATACACTTGCATATTACCAAATTTGCACTTTCACTCACAGTTAATTTAACTTTACAAATGTTAAGACAACAAAACTGTGAGTACTTGCCGATTTGACAGTAATTTTGCACCTGTGATTTGGTGGTTTATCTCTCTGACTAAGAAAATATGTTTTTTAGCACTTCGTAATTCCACTGACATCTTCAAAAATAAAACTGTGTGTGTCAATAGCCCGACAAGTTGTGTTAGAATGGCGAACAAAGCAAATATGTGCCACTTCTCTAGCAGAACATCTATGGACATGATTTGATGCAAGTTGGCACGGGTTCTAATGACCAAAATGAGCTGAAATTTATTGTGCGAGTATTTAAGGGTAAAATAAACAAAACCAGGCCATATGCATTAGAAAAAAAAATATTCGAAAAATAAGGGATACCTTAATATATATGTTAGGCTCAATGAGCGATTTTGGTCAAAACGGCCATGAAGCAAAATTCGCGTCGTGGCATTTGTAAAAATGATCACAAAGCAAAATTTATGTCATGGCTTTCATGATATTTGACCACTATGCATTGTGGTGACTAAAAAAAGCCATAACACATTCTGAACGTTAACTGATGCAACCACAATACAGGATCATACGACGCACAGTGGTTTATAACTTTAAAATATGGATTATAGGCTTGAAACATTTTTATTTACAATTTTTAATGCTGAACAACATTAGTTCTACAGGTTTTCCTAGAAATTTAATTTTCATACTTAAAAAAAATTTCAAAGAAGTAAAATATATGGAGAAAAATAAACATTTGTTTCTTTTGTTTTGCTAAAAAGTGCTAAAGGTCTAATTACATATACTTGTAGGTGCTTGACATACTATACACAATAAAATAAAAATCAGTTGCTAAAGTTAAAAACCACTGTGCGACGAATTTATTATGATTAAAAGCCACCACACGTTCTGGATGTTAACTAATAATGAACAATGATAAGAAAATAAAACTTTCTTTTTCATTATGATTTATTTATCTGCAGTCATCTTATATACGCAGGTAACAAAATTATTCACCATACACAAAAATTTAACTTTGTTACTTTACAACAACATTTAATTATTCATGCATTTTATGTTCTTTCAGCGACATTTGCATTTTTATCAATACAGTATCTTTTACAATGACACATTATAAACTCTTGCTTACTTCCAGATGTTAACATGAATACTAAGCAAAGTGTTAATAAAGTTGAGGGTGCGTTCTGAATGTTAATAAAGTTACTGTAGAAATTATAAATTCATTACGAGCATTAAGGAAACAAGGAAAGTCGATTAAGAAGACTTTCCTTGTTTCCTAACTGATAAGACCTGATGGATTAATGTTCATAACAACAGCTAAAACATTCCTGGGAGTTGCACTGCACATCCCCTATCAACATTAGACACCCTAACTAACAAACAACTGAACCAATTTCAACTGCAGAAAATTACCCTAAATTGAGAAAACTCTCCGAGCTCGAGCTTAAATAAAAAAAAAAAATTAGACGAATGATTCTATGATGCAGATCCCTCCCTGTATTATTATTGTGAAATAATAATCAGAACAATTCTTACTGTTTTTGAAAATTTTAATAACTAAAATGTCTTAGGATTTTTAGGCTTTATCAGAGGTATTAATATGGAGAGTGCCAACGGCTCAATGGCATGAAGGTTGAGAAAAGCAAAATCCTATTTGGGTGTAATATACAGTAATACCTCGGTTTTTGTCAGTTTCAGGTTTCGCCAATTGTTTTCAGATGGATTATGGACGAAAAAAGAGGTATCACTGTACAGTGTGCAGTACCTAGCGTCAATCTGCATTATTTCTTTAGCTTCTGTTGTCCTATCCTAAGACCCTCCAGTTATAAAGAAAAACAGAATGGTTTTAGGCTAAAACTTTTTCCAGCAAAACTTGTGGTGCAATGAGTAATAGCATCAAAACAAAAAGTAGTTTTACCCTAGACTTACCATAAATATAAGACTACCCGAAACATTACTCTGAGAGGTTCAAATTACTCTAGAAAACGGTAATTACCCTAAAAACAGCAGCACTGGTCAAGAATGAACACAATACAAACTCCGCAAGTGTTTGTAATGCATCTGTTGACAAGTTACAATCTATCCTTCGTATTGTGATTGCATCAGCTAATGTTCAGAACGCATTATGGCTTTTCTTAATCACCACAACAAGTAGTGGTCAAATATCTTGAAAGCCATGACATGAAATTCACTTTGTGGTCGTTTTGAATTAGCCACAATGCATTGTGGCTGGTTTTACAAATGCCAGGATGCAAATTTCACTCCGTGGCCGTTTTGAAACAACCACAATGCATTGTGGTTGTTTCAAAACGGCCACGATATAGATATAATGTGTATGGATATAGATATAGATATAATGTTTTTATATTAGATTGCATTTGAAGGCATTTTTATGCATGAAATACAGTGGTTTATCAGTTAATGAATATAATCTGTTCCAAGACTTTGTTCACTATCCAAATTGTTCATTAACTGATTATCAATTTACCATTGGTTTTTATGGGAATTTGATTAATTCGTTCTGGAAACTCCAAAATATAAAAAATATATACTTTCTTAATACATTTATTTATATGTAATAATAAAAATACATATATACACAGTCTTGCATTTTTATTAGTCATGTTTTTTCCATTTGTGGTGGGGGTTAAAGAATCTGTCCAATGTCAATTGCTTTTTTCTCTTCTTCAGGATTTTACAGAAGTAATTAATAGCATTGTAATTGTAGAGATCCCTAAGCCTATTAACCTCAACCTGATTTGGATGCCATTCTAAGACCTGACATTGTTCTGATATCCTCCCACTTCTTCAAAAGATCTTTAATTAATTAATAGGAGGTGTCAGCATTAATACTCTTTTTCAGAAGAATATATATCTCACCAAGTTTCTTGGTGTTCTTCATTTAAGAGTTCTTGGCATTCTTCTGTCACCAGATCAGTTTCAGGTTCCATCATGAGCTCTTCAATGTTCTTTATATCTCAGATGTAATTTTTGTTAATCCTTTAGCTGCTTGAGTCTTCTTGATTATACAGTATCTTTCTTAGATAAGATTAAACTGTGGCGTACTGTATACCTGTTCAAGTCATACTGCCCAGCAACATCAGACATCTTCTTCCCACTCTCTACCTTTGCTATTATACTCTTACCTTTCAAAAATAAAAACCCATACAAAACTTAACAAGTGCCCGCCGACAATCACGCAAATACTATAAAAAATTTCTTTCTGTCAGAAAAATAAAAGGCTGGAATTACAAGGGTGAGTTTCAAAGTTTGGAGGGATACTATCCGATCTCCTGTACCCAGTACATACTAAGTACAGGAGATGTTGATGTCTCCTGCACTCCGAAAACTTTTGAATTGTTGCCTGAAGACAAGGGAAGACCAATCAGTATTCATTATTTTACATCTCTTCTTCTTGTGTTTGTTCTGTGAGGTGTTCATTGTCTGAACATAAAAATCTTTTGTAAAAGTGTTTGATATCTGATTTGTTTGTTAACCAAACTGTTCATTAACCAATCACCCACTGTACAACTAGAAAGGAAAAATAAGACTGTTTTGGCAGTTGGAAATGGATTAATCCATTTTATATTGTTTCTTATAAAAAAGTTTGTTTTGGTTTGAGAACAAATTGCTTTTCAAACAACTTTTAGGAACAAATTAAGTTTAAAAACAGACATTTGACTGTATTCTGTCATCTTATATACAGAGTGATTATAACAATCCCAATCTATTTTTGTGAAAATGGTAACAATCATTTGTTTGCAGTTGTGTGAAATAGTCTAGACCCAAGAAGAGAGAATAACTGTGGTTTGTGCATGTTTCAGTGGATTAATTTACCTGGAGGTACCATCAAATCCTCCCATTCTGTAGTCTTCAAGAGATCGTGACATAATGCTTGGTGGGTGGCATAGTCCCCTTTCTCCTCCTCCAGCTTATTTAACACCTGGACATGCTATGCATGTTTTATGAGTTTGTAATGAAGAATCTCCTACATTTGGAAGTACTGTTATGGCACAGTGAGCATCTGGCTTAGTCTTCTGGTTGAGAAAACACTCTGTTTAATTGCAGTTTCTACATGTTAAACAGTTTGGACTGGCACGATGGGTCTCCCAGAATTACCTGTTTAACTAAATATGGTAAACAACAGTCTGATATTGGTCCTGGTAGAAGCAGACATCCTGAATTTCTGGGTGAAGTTTATCTGTATTCCATGTAAGTTATTTCATGAAAGTACATACTAAAACATGTGCAAATAGATGTTATTCTCTCTTCTTGGATCAGCATGTTTCACACAACCTGCATACAAATTTTGTTCCATTTTCACAAAAATGAATTGAGACTTTCTATCCCCTTGTATATATGCTTATAAGAAAATAGCTTGGCAAAGTTCAAATTTATATTCTCCATATTAAATAAATTTATATATTCTCACAAAAGTAATATTTGATATAAGTAGATTACTTATTTGAATTCAGTATCATCCTGCAATATAACAATGTATATATATTAAATTGTCATAGGATCAGTTTGAAATTATTATTTTCAATAGGTTTTGACTCCAAAACATTAATTCAATCTAACAAACATACCACATTATTTTTTTAAAATAAATTTACATAAGAAAAAGTTTAAACTTTACTTTAATGCCGTCTTCAGTTATTTCTTCAATTTTAGCACGATAATAACTCATGGTATTGTGTGCTTCAAAAAATGGTGCCAAAATTATTTTTCCTGGATATATTTTTGTCACTGGCTATAAATAAAATAAATATTTCTCTTTTAAAATATATTAAAAATAATAATATAAAAGGAATCAAAATTTACCTGAAAATTTTGCGCTTCATTCAAATTTATTGCATCTTTTAAAAATTGTAAATTCATTTCACTAGTATCTCTGTATTGAGCCCAAAAATGTCCACAATCCACCATCTGTATATTTTTTATTGTTAATCAGTATTTCAATAACGTAAATTTACAAATGAAAATTTATTTAGTTAAGATTGTATAACTTACAAAAGTAGCAAATATACGAATAACTGTTGTATTGAGCGACGGAAGCGCAACTTGATTTATATTATCATCTGTTACTTGTATAAAAATTCTGTTAAAAAAAAAAAAAAAACAATCATCTTTTATACAAGGTATGGTCCAAAAATTTTGATAAAGATCCTAATAAAAATTTTATAATATTCTTTTATAATTCTCAAAGTAAAAAAGATTCCAATACTTCACTATTAATTTCTAAAGAAATTATTATAATTTTTATTATTAACAAAATGTACTCACTAATTAAAATTTAAAAAAATAAAACAGATGATAAAAACAAATATTTGCCACTGATAAATTTATCATGAATGCAAATGAACATGCAGTACACTGTAACAATCAGCAATTTGGTTATGTACGCTATTGATATAGTCATTGATTGATACAGTGCACTGCGTGTTCATTTTCATTCATGATAAATTGATCAGTGCCAAATATTTGTCATCATCTAGCTCAGTGTTTCTCAACCTGTAACGAATCGTCGCCGCCTTCACTTCAAAATTCCAATGCCGAGGGCCAAGACTAACGCCAAATTCGTACTGCATTGAATAGACTATTGACTAGTATAATGTTATTTGTTTAATTAATGTACGATATAATGAATAAAATATCTAATTATTCTTAATATAATGTTTTACTATATTGCCCAGAAAATTGTTTTTCGCCCCCCAAAATATAAATTGTTACTAATCGCCTCCTCAACATGGAAAAACGCCCACATGGGGACGATATCGTCTCCGTTGAGAAACACTGATCTAGCTTATCCTTTGTGAAAAGCACAAAGGAGTTATAATTATGCTATTAATTTAATCAGATTTTTGATTTCTTCTTTTTCCAAATTAGAGGGCCATTAAAAATCCTTAATTTTGTTTATTTTAAAGAAATAAAAAACTTATGAGCAGCAATTGAAGTCATTTGATCAAAAAATATATTAAATGCTTTAGTATGTTAATAAAAAGACAAGGAATCTGTTTTACTTTATTTTGACAATGACAATACTTATTATTTGACATAAACTACAGTATTTTCATTTTACTATAAACAATCATTCATTATTTTTGGAAACACTTTGTATACTTGTAAATATTTAAGAGTATAAACTTGATAAATACATTTCTTTTATTATAAAACTAACTTTAAATAATGATATTGTTTTACTGTAGTTTCCCCATACAATTCATGTTTTAAAATTTTTCTTTTGTAACCACTAATAGTTTGTATCTACTAGTTTATCTTTCTAGCACTGGTGTTCTATTTGAAAATTTTTCAGCATTCCTGATGAGTCAAGGTAATTGAAAAATCTTTTATATCTGTTATTTCTAATTTTTTACAATTTTCCTTCTTCCTCCATTAAATTAATATTTTCATTTTATTTTATTTGTGGAGTTATGTCTTAATAAAAACAGAATAGACTAATATATAGATATCAGAATTGATGATACAAAATACATTTTTGAATTTCCAGTCCAACATTAGCTTTTTTCTAATAGAACTCTCAAACCAACATCTTTACTAGTTAAAATTTATTTTATTTCTTACATTTCAGATGATATTTAGATCTAAGAGCAAAAAACCCAATACTTTTTCAAATAATTTCCATCAATTTGTATGATATTGCTTGTTAATTGATAATTAACAGTTAAATGAAAATTACACAACTAACAGTTTTTAATATCAGTAACAAAAGATAATTAATTGTTAACAAATCTTTGTAATAATTTTTAAATCACACACACACAAACTAACTAACTTGGTTAAAAAGTTTTTCAAGGGACCAATCTAAAAACCTTAAGATGAAATGAATAATATAGCTTTTCTTTCAATAATCCATATTTATTTAACAAAGTTCAACTACATTACAGTGAATTAGGCTTATAAATCATTTATTTATTTAGAAGGACAAATCAAATCTTTGAGAGAGTCAAGAAGCTTAAACACTTGGTAATTTTTTATAGTGAAAATCCTCAAGCTTTAAAAAAACGTAGCAAAATTTTCACTCCCAGTAATTTGGAAATCATATGAGAAAGCACAGATGACTAGAGAAATATTCTGTGATAGGTTTGTAGATTATTTTGTGCCCACAACAAGAAAATAATGTAGAGAGGAAAATATTGCATTTAAAATAATTTTACTTTTAGACAATGACTCTGCTCATTATGTTGACTTGACAGATTTATACAGAAATTGTTACTCTTGCTAGAGTAACAATTTCTCTATTCATTCAAGGATTACTCAATTCTCATGGTTTGCCATTAACAAATGAGGAGTTGGCAGAATTAGATAAGCCTACAATTGAATAAATCAAAGGCAGTAATGAAGGTTTGAATAAAATTCCCAATGAAAATGGGCTGTCCATTGATAGTTTGTGAGACACATTTGCAAAGTGTGACAAAATCACCAATTATTTTCTTAAAAACAATCCAATTTACAAAACGGGCAGAAAAATTTGAGTGGGGGATGAAAGACTTATCATCTTGTTATAAATGAAAAAATAAACTGCAGGAAACAGCATACTTTAGATTCATTTTTCATACATCAAAACGCAGTAGTCAGTAAAAACAATGAAACACAACCAGGCCCTTCTAAAATTCAATTATAAATAATATTTATGAGAAATAATTTTTAATACTCAATTATACTAATAATAAATATTTTACATATGTGTAAATATGGATAATAAAGATTTCTTTCATGTTTATTATTTGGTTTTGTTTTATTGAAACCCAATTAAACATTTTTCTTATGACTTCCTATAAATTCAAGATCCCCCACATTAAGTAGATTCACTTAAAGTAGTAACTTTTTTGGTCCTAGTTAATCATTTTATCAATAAATGGGAAACCGTATATAAATGAAAAAAAAAAATATTTGTCATTTTTTGTTAACTATACAATAAACATAGTTTCATTTGCTTTGAAATAGGAAGTTTACAAATAATTTAAGCTATGGATAAAATTGCAATGAGCAATGTCATTACTAAATGTAAAAAACAGACTACACAGTATTTTAAATTCTTCTCATTGTAAAAACCATTTGGAATTCATTTTTAATATATAAAATTTATTTTACTTTTGCAATATAAAAAAAAAAATATATTGACAAATGGATATATATATATGAAACTTGGTACCACATTAAATTCAAGAATAAAATTATTATATTAAATTTTATTAAATCTTTACTATGTAAAATTTAATCAAAAACATTACTTAATTTGGTAGTATATGTTAAATTGTCTATTATTCCTAAAGAAAAATAACAGTAACCTGTTAGTTTGCAGCCTTCTCTCTTTACTACATTTTTCATTTCTCAACTGAAGTAATTGTTCCAATTTTCTGCTTGCCTCAGCTTTATCATATATCTGAAGCTGCAAAGGCATTCGTAACTGCCTAAAAAAGAAAATTTATAGAATTGAATCATTGTAAATGAAATTTATAATGAAAATGAGATAATTTTAATATTAACATTTTAGAAAATGTTTGATAAATGTATTAACAATTAAATTTTATTAAAGTTAAATATTTAAATAAATCAGTTTCAGACTTCAGTGATATGAAGGAATTCTGTGTGTAAGCGCTTCTTAAATGTATTCAATCAAGAAAAAAGGATAATATTAATCTAATACAAATACTTTTATTCATTTCTAGAATGGAACCTAATCCTGCAAAGATCTCTAGCAAAATGTGGAAGACTTATGTTGAGTGTTACTAAATCAAGTAAAAGGAAAGATCATCTCACTACTCCTAATATTAAGTTGATTGGATTTGGTGTTTTGTAGCACAAGAGCCTAGGTAGGCCAAAAGGTGCCAGGTCAAGCCAGCTATATTGCTGTATACCATGTTGAGTCTTTCTATGTCATAGTTGTTCTATTGTATGTCCTGTAGTTCTGCATATAAGTTTATTGCCTCAGATATGCTATTGTGAGTTGAATTTGTCCATTCTTGTCTAGTATATTCCGTAGAGCTTGGTCGTCTGAAGATATGTGTTGTTGAAGATAGCATTCTCTGGATGTTTTGCACTGAGGGCATGTTAGTGATACATGCCAGGTATAATTCGGGTGTGGCAAGTTGACCTTCTAATACTAAATTAATAACTGATTTCAACTCACTAACAGATAAAGATCCATAGAAATTATCTCACAGATTGATAAAGATCTACAGATTCCACAGAAAATCGTCAGATTAGTCAAACACATTAAGTTCCACACTACTAATAAATTTGGATGAAATGTCAAACACCTTAACATATTCCCTGGTATTCCCAACATATCTTGGGTCAAAACATGTTGACCTTGAACGGTGGACCCGAGATATCTCGTTTCTGCATCAGGATGTTTTTTTGACACTAGATGTCACTAGCTGGCATAATTTTTATATTAAAACCAACTTCCAAAATATAATTTTTTTGTTTTTACATTTATTAATACATCTATTTTGTTTGTGCAAAATAAAAATATAATTTCGGATGATACAATAGCTATGATTATTTTTTCTAAAACATGAAATTTTCTTTAGGCTTAACATCAACAAAAATTCAACGTGATACAACACGCAATGGAAAGAAATTTCAACAAGGGATAGGTTAATGACAGATTTATGGAATAGAATCCCAATTTTAATTAATAAATCTAATGCGAGACTAGCTAATCAGATGGTTTCCACAAAAGACTATCTAAATTCTATAAGTGAGTGCATTTGAGAGTTGAAGGGCCAATTTCAAATAATGAAAGAAAAAATAAAAAATATGGAATAAGAAATTGCTGAACTAAAAATGGAAAAGAAACTTCTATATTTCAAAATTGTTCTTTAATCAACACTTTTAATCAAAATAGTATAATCTTACATAATTATCCCAGTTTGCAAAGCATTTCTATAAAACAAATTTTGGATTTAGATACCGTGTTGCTGATGATAGTTTAGATATAACTGAATTAACTAACAACACAATTTCTACAATATGATTACTGTTAAGAATTAACCAAATCTGAAACCAATTTTTACTTCTTTTATTAAACAAAAACAACAAATGCTTAATAATTGGCAGAATATGCAAATTTCAGCTGACCTTACATAAGGCCTAGAATCAGACAAAAGAACATTCTTCCTTTTTACATTGAAATAAAAAGTGCACAACCATCAAGTCAAATTATGTAATGACTTTATATTGATAGGTGAGGAAAAATTACACATTGTCTTAGAACAAAGCAATTAGTAAATGTGAAAATTTTTTTACCAATTCCTTTACCACAGAATTTAATAAATTAACATTTGACAAATCATAGAGAAAACTCTGTAATTGAAATTACACATAGTCAAATGCTTACAGTATAAAAAATTGGAATTGCCAGAGAATGAAAAAATTTTATCAATTGATTTCTCTCAATTTAAATTTGAAACAGATATTGTCAAAGCTCAGTGACTACATTTTGATAGCATAAATTGTAGCTGAGAAATATCTCTTGCAATACAGTAAATATTTGCAATTAATGCTACTTTTCTCCGATTGGCTATGAGTTTGGCTTAAATCTTATTGGTTAAAGAAAGTTGGGCATCAGAAACTATTAACAAACAATTTCTGTTAAATGTATGTCAAAAACATTTTATTTAATACTTAATACAAGTAAATACTGCATCTGCCATTGTATTAATAAAATACCATAATTCCAATCAAATCTATTATTGTTTATACAGTGGTACCTCAGGATAAGAACGCCCCAGCATACGAAATTTTCAGGATACGACATGAAATTCGAACATATTTTTGCTCCACGATACGAACAAAAACTCACCATACAACGTTACATTCGTTCATAGCACCATTTTTTATTCACTACTGTTCATCGGTCTCAGTCCCACGTTTGCTTCGTCATGGAAGGATCTCGCTCGATAAAGGAAATCTTGAGGTATTATCAGAAAGTGACTGATTTTATTGAAAAGAAACATACCGACAAGGTTCACACTGGCCGTATTGCTGCTCAGAGTAATGACATTTGCCTAAGTCATTTTAGAAACATTTTAAAAAGTAGGCAAAGCCAAACCTCTTTGGATAGATATTTTACCAAGCGACCTCTATCCAGTGAAAGTGCTGGTGGAAGTGAAGGAAAGAAAGCAAAAAGCAGTGAATAAAAAATTTAAAAAATATATATAAAACAACACTAATTTTTTAATCTTTTCTAAGTTATTGTTACATTATGTTATGTAAGTTAAGTTTTAGTATCATTTCCCTTCTCCCTCCTTTCCGCCACCATTTACACCTCCACCATTGTCTATCCTCAAAGGTAAAGTGCAAATATAGCTAGATTTTTTTTTTTAATCAATTATTATCCTATTATGGTTATTTACTCATTTACAAAATGCATTTTTCAGTGTTTTCCTTACTATAGTTATTATTTTTTTTAATGAACTACTTAGCTTTGAGTGTGTTTTTCGCATTGGAACGAATTATTTGGTTTTACATGTAATCATATGGAGAAAAATGATTCACCTTACGACCTTTTCAAGATACGATCTCAGTTTCGGAACGAATTAATTTCATATCCTGAGGTATCACTGTACTGTGCAGGAACCTCTATATCTTGAAACCTGTCTATCTCAAATTTTTTTCTTGTTCTCATGAGATTTGAAATACAGGTTCAACTGCATTTGCTAAGATATAATAATAATTCATCAACCCATCTTATCAGCTAACATTTTCTGTATAGAAGAGAAAGGCACCAAGAGCCACAGAAACATTCTGAAAGATCTGCAGGTTGTTGACCAATGGAAAACAGATCCAGTCTAATCCCATTCAGAAGTTGCCAGCATTTTGCAATGCTCTTAGAATATTTTTAAAATAAAAATGAAAAGTTAACATGTAATTTTAACTTTTAAAAATTATCTGCAACCATCAGTAAAAAAAGTAAATGTCTATATTAATTGTCAAAACATTAAAATAAAAAAGTTATACAGTATGATCATTATTCACATATTCTAATTTTAAGTGATTTTAAAACAATATAATCTTATAAAGCAAAAAGCAATAAATAACTCTTAGAATATATACTAAAATTATTTAATTTAGGAAGACAAATGTTTTATTAGAAGGAATGTTTTCATTCTCATTGCAGATCATAGTCAGCTAAAATCTCAGTTTAAACATAGATGTAAGTTGAGAACATAGATGTTAAGATATATGTTTCTGAAATGAGAATGAAAAATTATGCAGTTTTAGTATATATTCTATGTATAATGGTGCTAGTTTTACTGATGTTACTAATGTCTTATTACATACAAAAATTAAAACCATCTCACTAGATACATTCATGCAAAGTTTAAGAAACTGCATACAAAGTTAATCACTAACTCTACCAATGATAAAATTAAAGAATGGTACTTATTTAGTAGAAATGTAAACAATACACAAGTAACTTTCAATTGATTTTTAAAAAAATTTTTTTGCACATAGTACAAGTTTTCATTACAAATTTTATTTAACTGTAAGCTTATGTCAATAAATTAGTTCTTTATATTTGACATAAATCAAAAAATTGCTTAAGTTGGTAATTATGTGTTTAAGGAATCTACAATTTTAATACATTTCTATGATTACAAATTCTTGATTGTATGCGCACTCCCAAATGGAATACCTGCTTAAATCACATCTTCACACTACGTCAACATTTAATCTTTGTATTCTTTTTGCCTTGTGGGCACTAGGGACATTTTTTCAGGCCTAATTTGGGTTTAATGATACTCACAATGGAGCAGCCAGATGGTGAGGGATGGAAGCCAACATATCTAGGATATACCATTTCCTGAAAAATTCCTGGATCCAAACTAGAGTCTTCCAGAGCAGTAGACCAACATCTTACTGCCTAAGCCATCTGGCCATCAACAATTTATCAATTTTTTTTATATATTATAATAATTAATTAGTTTTAACATCATCATCAACAGTCCATTTTTATTAAATCATTAGACAAAGATATAAATTAATATGAATTTTTGAAAAGTTGGAAAAAGAGTATGCCTTTAAGTAAAAAATATCTGAAAGCATTCATTGCCTGAATTACTCAGGTACCTAAGTATGAAATTTCTACAGTGTTCAGCACTAACTGCACCTTATCAAATCAACATAAATTTTCTATAAATGTATTATTTACTTGATATCAAGGAACTAAATTTTGAACAAACATGGAAACATCAAATATATAAAAATTCCATCTGCTAGAATGAATTTCCCTAAAAAATTTTGTTTTATTAGCAATTTTCAATAAATTCAATAATCTATTTCTGGATAATTATAAAATGCTTTTTCATTAAGTGAGAAAAAAGAAAGTCATAAAAATATTATCATTTTTTTTAATNTCTCCTTGCATTTGATTGGATCTTTAAACTATTACCAAAGCCTGCTAGAGTTATCTGGGCATTGATCCCTCTTTCCTGGGAGTTTTTTCTTGTCTGTGTCTCCAATTATAATTACTGTTTCAACATGACCAAAAGAGTCAAGTTTTTACCAATATTAGATTAAATTTATCGTTTAATGTTTCTTAGCCTTATGATTATATATATATATATAATCATAAGGCAATAAAAAAATGTGTGACATTAATGTCACACATTTTTTTATTGCCTTATGATTATATATATATATATAATCATAAGGCTAAGAAACATTAAACGATAAATTTAATCTAATATTGGTAAAAACTTGACTCTTTTGGTCATGTTGAAACAGTAATTATAATTGGAGACACAGACAAGAAAAAACTCCCAGGAAAGAGGGATCAATGCCCAGATAACTCTAGCAGGCTTTGGTAATAGTTTAAAGATCCAATCAAATGCAAGGAGAATTGTTTGTCTACCAATTTTTCAGATATTTGTGATTCAAGATCCCTTGACCCATTCAAGTCCCAAATCTCTTTCCCAAATTGTATTCTATTGTTATTGGTTGTAGTCATGCAACCAAGTATCATTTGTTCTTTTTCTTTAGCTTTATACATGGTAGTGTTCAGGAGAACAAGTAATTATCACCACAAAGAAAACCCAATTAAAATAAACAATAAAATTAATAAACAACAGTAATAAAAAAAAAAATACATAAAATAAAAATTGTGTGAATAATTGTAATTGCAGCATATCCATTAAATCTCGTTTCAAAAAGAAAAAAAAAAGTTAGTCTCCTGTCTCCCTTCTGGTCATTACCCATAGAAAAATAAAGGCTTCCCCATATATACAGCAAGTTTGTCAGATCTCTATGAAACTGACTGGTGTCATCCTAATAATCAACAAACAAGTTTCAGCTCAATATAGGACTCCACAACTTATGATTGTGAGAACAGAAGATTCCAAACTAAGAATGTAGAAGATTAATACAGAATGTTATAATGTTTCACAAATCTCTCTTATGATGACAACAAATTACACTAATTTATCAACTTCAAATGCAGAAGATTCATTTCTCAACAAGCACAATTTTAAATTTTCTGCAAGAATTATTAAATAATTACAAAATATACAAAAATATAATTAGTCACAAATTACATACTTAATTGAAGCGTGCAATGCCATAATGTTGTAAATGCCATTTTTCTCTAAATACAACTTATTGGAGAATTGAATTCTAAATGCAATGTTTTCTGCTGCAAAAGAATATTGCGGCAATATTGGCACTGTAAGTGGCTGTATTTTGAAATGAATTTATGTAAAGGTATAATGTTTAAAGCACCAGAGTGCAAGTCACATGACTTTTGGCACTTAATGTTACATCTTGTATTTACATCATTTTTATATTCCAGAGAATTTGTAACCTAGTGAGTTTTTTGCCATTTTATTGTAAAACTGAAATGAATTCATTCATTAAACAAAGTGTTTTTTTACCTCTCCTGAAAAATTTATTTTTTGGCATTTACAATATTACAGCATTGCACACTTCAATTATCACTAAACTGATTATGAAATAATCCTGATAATAGAAAAATGTTAACCACCATAATGAACTTCTCAATAACAAATTTAAAATAGGCACTCAAAGCCAGATCAGACAAAGAATAAATGATCAACTTCACAAAAATCTTTTATACATAACTGACATTAGAACTCTTATATAAAATTTAAAAAATCACAATACAGTAATACCTCAACTTACACGATTTTCAAATCTCGTCGATTCGTCTTTTGTTTGAGTGCCATGCAACTTTTGATTACTCACTCCCCCCCACACTACTGTTCGGCTTACATGTTCAGACGTGTCGCGTGGAATCAACATATAGCTACAATTTATTTTGTGTTATTTATTTCCGTGTTTATTATATCTACAGATATTTGAGAGACTCTACTATGTCATCTAAATGAAGTAGAACTGATTCTTCTGCATCAAACAAGAAAAGAAAAACTTTATCTTTGGAATGTAAAGTTAACATTATTAAAGACTTCGATACAAAAATGAAAATTTCTGAATTGGCAAAGAAGTTTGATCTACTGGAACTGACGACCAGAACAATTATAAAAGGTAAAAAAAATTCTCAAAAGCTGTAAAAAATGCTCAATCTTTAAATTCAAGCATCATTCATAAACATCACGGTATTATCCCTTAGATGGAAACAATGTTAAAATTATGGTATGATAATCAAGTAAATGTGAAAAATTGTATAATAATATAATTTGTTATACATATATATTATCTAAGATTTTATTAAACATTTTTTTCTAAATTATTGTTTTATTTAGTCTTCAGCCCCAATTAAAAATTATTTATATGTATTTATATGTGAAATTATACCCCAACTTACGCGTTTATCGCTTGGTCCCACCTATCGCGTAAGTTCGGGGTATTACTGTACAAAGTTTTTTGTAAACAAATTTTATTATCATTGTTATTTATAAACAATTTATTAAAAATTATCATTATAACTTCGATAAATTGTAAAATGTAATTAGCACTAAATATCACTTTGATTATGCAAATCATTTCCTAAACTAGGAAATGGTGAGATAATTGTCATCCCCATAAATTAAAATAGTAAAAGGTTAATAATGTAATTAAATATAATTATAAATAAAATTCTCTTTTGCTATTTTACAAATTAGATTCTTAATTACATTTTACTGAAAAAATTTTCTAAAATTGAACTTTTATTGATTTGTAACAGTACATCAAATCCCAGCCAGAAAAAAAGTGACTTTTTATCCTTAATTTAACCCTGCATTAGTGCATTGAATTTTTTTTGGTATTAATGCAGTGGGGTGTTTGTCCACCCCGATATTTTTTTGGGTCCATAAACCATGTAAGTAAAAATTCATAAAGATTTACTCATTTATTTGGTAAAGGCATGTGTCATTATACATATGATTATATTCAGGTATGATTACATATTATATTAGTACATAAATCCATGAAAATAAAAAACAACATTTATCAAAACTCATTACATTAGATCTTATTATTAAACCAATAGTAAAAATCTAAATTGTTTTTTAAGCATTTTTGTCACTCTGATTCAATAGCTGACATTGTACTTTGGCACTCAATGCAAATGACAAGCAGCTTGCTATGTTTGGTATTTTCTCAGTGTGTTTATGAAAGTCAGCCATTTTGAATTAAAATAAACTTATAATAATCAATGTGAATAAAAATAATTTATCTATATTATAAATAATAAATGTAGTCACATTATAGTTATTTTAAAAATAAAAAAACTAAATAAATATTTATAAAATTTAAAAAAAAACGTAATTAATATTGTGGGGTGTTTGGACACCCCCCTGAGAATTGTTGTCTTTCTCTTACTGGAATTTCTGCAACATCGTAGTAATTTCTGAGCATGCTCTACACATAAAATCATGAAGCTACGGAAGAGGAAACAAATATTTCTTGCGAAATCTATGAATAGTGCAACTTTTAAAACATTTGGGGTGTTGAAAATCACCACTGCACTAGTTAAGTTAGATATATTTTTACCATGAAGAGAATGTAATAATTTTTAAGCATTTTATAACATTTTACTTTTAATATATAGAGCAAGAATAATAATAATTCCTTGTTTTATTTCCAGGAAAGAGGGACCAATGCCCAGATAACTCTAGCAGGATAAACATTAGGTTGTTTGGAAAATACTGGCAATTTCAAAAACAAACATTTATTCTTAAAAAATTTAACACTATATATGTTAAAATTAGTCAAAGTATGATCCCTGAATATTTATGCATCTCTGCCATTGATGAACAAGATCATTTATGTCTCGTCAATAAAAATCCACTGGCTTTGATGCTAAGAAATCTCTGAATCCAGCCTCCACCTCAGTTTTGTTGCTTAAAAAAGTGTCTAGATGCTTGAAAAAAATGGTAGTCAGTGGGTGAAAGATCGGGAGGATGCGGTAAAGTCTCATATGCCAAGTCATTGAGTTTCTGCAGTGTCATCCTGTCAATTGCCCATCATGTGAAACCTATTTATTGAGCTTTTTCAATTTAACCAATTTGCATTAGATGGTCTGGTCAGATACATTTGAAATACTGACATCAAGTGTCTCAGACATTTTTTTGACACTTTGATGTGGGTTTTCTTCAACAATTGCTTTCAAAAGTTCATTGTCAAGAGTGCATGGCTGTCTACTACCTTCATCTTCAAGGCTCTCATTGCCACTACAAAATTTCTTAAACCACCTTTGTACTGTCCGATCATTTGCAGACCTTTCTCCTCATGTTTGTTGATATTGGCAGCTGTTTGAGAAGCATTATGACTAAGTTTGAACTCGTGCAAGTAAAGTAAATGCATTTTTTTTTCATCTTCATTATTAATGCTTCAAAATTGTACTCTGATAGAAATTATAGGAGAATTATTTATGAGTACACATCACTTATTAAGCATGTAAAATTTCATATAAAACACTCATAAATAGCAATTACTTTTATTTTTAAAAGTGAGTTGAAAAATTGACCATTATTTTCCAAGCAACCTAATAAATTATACAATTTAACTTTACAATAAATATTGGAAGCTAAAAATATGAATTTATCTGCTGAAAATGAATGTAATGTCTAAATTTTAATGATATATTACATTAAAATTACAAAAATAAAAATTTATTCAATATTACATGTTTATTATATAGAAAAAATGAAAATCTAATTTCAAAACTCATAACAAGCTTTCTTATAAAAAAAAATAATAATAATTTATTGTAAAAAACAATAAATTTTGCAGATTTGTTTCATTGAAATAAACTTATACAAAAACCTGACTTTTAGATAATTAAAGAAACAACTCAAATAAAAGTATTTTGGAAATAAAGTATAGAATGCATGTTTGTAAAAAAAAGCAAAGTATATAAATTATTCAGATATTTCATTTTTTTAAATACTTATTAGTGGTTAGTTCAAAAATAATAATAAAAAACCTTTATTCACCTTCTTTCTTCAAAATGTATTGTCATATTTCTTGAACAGTGAGAAAGTAAATTCTTTAATGCTGTTACATATAGCTGGCCTTGATTTGGAGGTAATCCTCTTACCTAATAAATAATTAATTATAACTAAAATTAGTTAAACTTTCAAAAACTGAATAAATATATCAATAATACCTACATAATAACTTAACAAGATTCTCAAGATGTATTTTAATTATCTTATAGCTCAAAATAACCCAGTTTATTAGGCTAAAAGTCTAAAACTGCAGGATTTTTTTTGAGTTACATTAAGGCTAATTTTTAATTAACTTATAGAATTTTGGATCAGAGATATTTCAAAATAGTAAATTTACTACTTGCAGTTAAAATAATAGAAGTATTGTCATATCTCTAGCAACTAGGGATCTTATCAGTATCATTTATTTTGCATGTAAAATGATTTATTAACCTATTTTCTGGTATTCCCAAAATATCTTGAGTCAAAACATAATGATGTTGACCGGTGGACCCGAGATATCTTGTTTCTGTATCAGGATGTTTTTGACACTAGATGTCACTAGTTGGCATAATATTTATATTAAAACCAACTTTCAAAATATAATTTTTGACAAATTGCTGATACTTTTCTAAGTTTTTACTTAGATATTATCCTATTTTGAGACCCTCCAGTAGTTTTAGACATTTTATTTTGTTTATAATTGCCATAAATTTCCATGATGATATAATTCTTTTTCTATATATACTCATGAAATTACTTCTCATAAGTTAATGAAAAGTGATCACATTTTCTCTAGATTAAGTATAACTGTTCAATTTAGTTCATGATTCCTTCCAAAGTTTCTTACACTGAGGATTTAAAAGTCTAGTGAAAATGAAGTTATTCTAGAAATTTGATTATTTAAATTGGGGTTTCAAACTGGCAGTCCTCAGGCCAGATATGACCCATTAAGGCTTCATATCCAGCTCGTGGCCTTGATGATTTCTTTCCTAAAAAAAATCAATTTTTCTAACAGCTTGCAGAGATTAAAACAGAAAAAATTCAAACATCTAAACAGTTTTCATAAGTTGTAAAGGTCTGGCAACAAAAGGGCCCTTGTTAAAGCTTTTTTTCAAATTACAGCAGGGATTGCCAAACTTTTATAACCGTTGACCCCCAACAACTTTCCAAAACTTCACATTGACCCCCATCGTAAAGTTTTATTACAAGTGCAAGTGTACAAGACAAAAAAAAAAAAACTTCGTCATTTTTAGTTTAAATTTTTCCATCGACCCCCCCAATAATATTACATTGACCACTTTGGCGACCCATGAATTACAGTATGTTTTGGTTTACTGAATAATATTAAATACAACCCTAATCTATACATCTATTTGACTGGCCCTTTGCTGCATTTGAGTATGAAACCCAATTTAAACAATTAAAATTTTTGATGATAATTTTCAAATCAACTTCCAATTCATCTTCACAAACATATTTCAACTAAATGCACAAAAAAGTTTTTAAAACATGCATTTTTACAATTTTAAATACATTTTTAATAAAAGATATTAAAATTTTATTCACTGTTTATAGCAGTGATTCTTGATCAATTTTAACAGACAATTCTAAAAATCTTAGACCTCTGAGAAAGCCATTCTAACCAAAGTTTGAGCTACAAACTTATAGTATCTTAACCTTAATAATAATATAGTAAAAATACTTACACTGCAATAAAGCAGTCTGTAAGATGCAAGTCCAAATATTATCTTTAATTTTTGGGATTTTGTTTAGTTATCATTATTTATTTTGGAGACATTTTATTTTGTTCAAAGGACAAAAACTCCATCTTCCTATACAAAATTCTAAAATAATGATAAAACCTTATCATAAGTATGACTGACACTCAAAGCTGACATTGCCAATGTATCAATGGCATCTTGAATTAAGTGATCTCCAAGTGAAGTTAAAGAATTCTCTTAATCCTTTTGTTACCGATTTTAAAAATCAGAACTTTTTTGGAAAGATTGGAAATACTATTATAACCGAAACAGTACAAAGAAAAAAATAATAATAATAATTGTTAGTTTATACAGTACCTATTTACTCCAAAACCCAAATTCAAGACTTACAGAGACGAGATCCAAAATGGAATTCCATCATCCAGAAATTGGAAAATAATATCACCCTTCATCCTAACCTTGAGAAATTTTTCTTGGATGAAGAAAAAACCCTCTATCATCTACAACCTACCAATCAGGGGGATAGGCCAAGTCCACATAAGTTGTCATAGGTATAATTAGACACTGTCAGTTTAGTAGTCAGTTTTCTGTGGTTCCAGCCGACTTGCATAGGCATTAATGTTAAAAAAACTCTGGTTTACTCAACACAGTTTAACTCTGCCACAAAATAAATTCACATACTTTTTCTGTCCCACACTCATTTAGATGTGTGTTAAGTCAACTCCCCTCCTAAAAACGAGTTCACACCACACAGCTTAACATCATAGCAGTATCCAATTTTGAATTTTCTCACCTTTCATTCATGTGTTATTTGCAGCACGTTTCACATTTCTGTTAGAAATGAGTATCCAAAAGCTAACAATGCTTATGCTTTTTGAAGGAAAAATACAAACTTGTATCTGAATTTGAATATAATAAAACTTTTGCAAACCAAATTTGCAAAACAAAAAAAAACTTTTTCTAAAAACAACACAACAACATTGGTGGGAATCCTGAAGAAAAAAGAGGAAATTAAGAAACTTTTTGTTGGGTCTTTGTCATGGCTGTCTCGAAAATGCCAGAGAAAGTAACTGTACAAAGATGTCAAAGATGCTCTGGTATGTGGTATGTTGGCTAAAGCAAATTCATGCAACGAATCTTCCTGTTTCAGGGTCGATACTGAAAAAAAAAGTGGTGGAAATTGCTGATGTACTTGGAGTAGAAACAAACTTTAGTGCCAATGATGAATGGTTAGAGAGATTTAAAGGTTGCCACAGCATGACTTTTAAAAAGCTATGTAGAGAAAAAGAATCTGTTGACATGACCTCAGGTGAAACTTGAAAAGAGAGAGTTTTACAAGAGATTGAGAAATAATATAAACCAGAAAATGTTTTCAATCTTGATGAACTGGGACTTTTCTACAAATTGCTTCTGGAGAAAACTGCTGTGTTTAAAAACAAGAGTTGCCACAGTGGAAGCAAATCAAAGCTGCAAATTACAATTCTTCTCAGAGCAAACTCTGATGGCTCTGAAAAAATGAAGTCCTTAGTTATAGGAAAATCTTGACTGTCCCGATGTTTCAAGGGAGTGAAGAGATTGCCTGTCATATACAAGGCAAATATGAAAAGTTAGATGACTTCCAAGTTTGGGAGGAAATTCTTCACAAATATGACTCCCAATTTATTAAGCAAAAAAGAAACATAGCATTCGTTGTTGACAATTGTCCTGCTCATAGAAAAGTTGAAGGACTATAAGTGATTAAAGTGTTTACTCTATCACCGAATGGCACTGCTATAGTGCAACAACTGGATTGGGTATTATTCATTCATTCAAACGTCATTATCGAAAGCAGCTTATTTTGGACTTGATTCATGCTGTATAAAGCGAAAAAGTCAACTGACATTTCCGTTAGATGAAATTCATTACGTGAAGGTTAAGTGAAAAATGTAGCATTCTTAACCATTGCAAACTGCTTTAAACATGCAGGATTTTGTCCCATAATAACAGTTCAAGATGAAGATAAAGATGAAGAACAGAATGTTCAATTGGGAGAACTGCTGCAACATTGCCATGATCTACGAAAAACTGCATCTGTTGATGAAACAGACTACAGCATAGTAGAAGTGTGTTCCTCAGCAAGTGTTGTTATTATCATCACACAAATTCTGATAAGAATGAATCTAATAGCAAAGAGAATGAAACACTAGAAGAGCCAACCCCAAACCTAAATGCTAGAGACCAACCAACCAAAACCTGTGCGCTAGAGACATTAAGAATCCTTACTTGCCAACAATTGACAATAGCAAAGATGTTTTCAAGGCATTCAAAGAGTTAAATGCTCAAAAAAACATTAAACAAATTTTTCAGTTTATCATCTACAGCATTATTGCAAATGGAGTACACAATGTATTGTAAGCCTATAGAGAGGTTTCAAGTCAACATCACAAGTAACGTCAGGAGCATGCGGAATTGTCCAGCATCATTTCTGTGGTTAATGTTTTATTTGTGTTTATGCATGACATGCTTTAGCTGGAGTTCTTTTGTTGTTTATTTGTCACAAATATCACTATGGTCAATTGTTGTGTAATTGAGTGTAATGCTAGTTCACTCAAGAACAAAGAAACACCATTTTTTAAAATTCCCAGTATTATTTGTCTTCAAAGACCCCAAACTGAGGAGCTTTCATGATGAAGGCAATTTGCATGGCTCTCGAGAATTAAGCAGAAAAAATTTTAATATGGATAAAGTGAATATCAATACAAGAGTTTGTCAGAAACATTTCATTTCAAATAAGAAACAACATTTGATTACTAGTTATCAATAAATGATTAGATAAACTTTTGCATTAGTGTCATAAAGTGTATACAAGCTGGTTGCATAAATCCCTTTGTTAGTAGCAACAAAATAAAGTTAAATGATTTTAACAATTGCAGATTTTAGTTTGAATAGATAATGATTGTGTTCTAACTTTATTTTTCACCTTTCAGTTTGTTTTCTTAGTCTCTGCTTGTAGAGTTAATATTAAAGTGTTAAGCAAAGATAATCGCTTAGCAGATAAAGAATTAGAAGTGAATTTTGAACCAATTGTCCTTCCAGTCTAATTTGCATAAATAAAAGTATGTATTTTTTAAAGTATAAACCAATAATTTCCATTGTTCATTTAAAAATAGCTAAGTTAGCTAAATAGCTAATAGCAATGTTGCTCATGATGTTACTTTTTACAATGATTTTTTTTTATATTAGTAACAAATAATCATTACATAGTAACCTTTAAGTTGTTCCTGTCATTCTTATTTATTATTTATATGTACAGGTCTGTTCAAAAAATACGTGAACTGTTTGAATTTCGTGGCTCCAGTTGGTTCCAGGAGAATCTACTTAGTGTTGCTAGGTTTGTACAAATCGTCTGGTGATAAAGCCATTTTCCAATTACAGATATCATTATTTGTTGATTAGCTATGAAATTTTCAGTGAAGCACAATTGTTTCATTTGTCAGATTTCAGAATGAATGACCTGACGGAACAACGAATTGCTGTGAAATTTTATGTTAAACTTGGAAAATCTGCAACTGAATTTGCTACATTTGCTATACTCAACACAGCTTACAGTGATGTTGTGATGAAGCATATGGCATGTTTCACCAATGTCAAGATGATGCTGACCGTTTTCTTTGATGCTAAGGGTGTTATTCACCACGAGTACCTCCCCCAAGGCTTCACAGTGAACCAGACTTACTACATTGAAGTTCTGAAATGTCTGAGGGACGCCATTTGTCACAAAATGCCAGAAATGTGGAGGAGTGACGACTGGTTTCTCCATCACGACAATGCTCCAGCCCATTCAGCCCTGAGAATGCGTGAGTTTTTGGCCAAACACTCTATCACTGTTCTTCCCCACCCATACTCACCTGAACTTGCTCCTTGTGACTTTTTCTTGTTCCCCAAACTCAAAAGAATTGTCTCAAATCTTCTTCCTTGAAAGGAAGAAGATTTGAGACAATTCCCAATATTAAGGCAAATGCAACAAAGGCACTGAAGGACATTACAAAAGAAGCATACCAGGACTGTTTCAACAAGTGGAAACATCGTTGGGATAAGTGTGTGCGTTGGGAAGGAGAGTACTTTGAAGGGGGCCCAGACATGTAACTTCTACCTAAAGTACATTTTGTTTTATGATGTCAGTCTGCGTATTTTTTGAACAGACCTCGTAACATACTATAATGATAAGTTTTTTTTAATAATAATATATTATTGAAAAAATTTTTTTCCCCAAAGGAAAACCTTCCTCATTTTATGACGTCATTCACTAAACTGGGTGCTAACATTATACACTGAAGAGCAATTAAATTAGGGATACCTGTCTAGTAGCATGTAGCACCACCTTTTGCGTTGGTGACAGCTGCGATTTGTCTTGGCATGGACTCCATAAGACTTTGGAAGCAATGGGAAGCCATACGTATCCATGATTCCTGAATAATCTCTCACAAATCATGAAGATTAGATGGAAGGTGGTCGGAGCCTCGAACATCTCTTTCAATTCCATACCAGATGTGCTCAATTGGATTGAGGTCAGGTCTGTGGAATGTTCACCCAACCATTTCAATACAATTCAGAAGTGATGGCACAGTGCTTGCCTTGTTGAAAGACAATCTCTGTAGTAGACTGTGGAGAAAAAACAAACGGGAGTAGATGGTCGTCGAGGATATCCTGGTAACATTCACCTGTCAGCGATGCTGTCACATGTACCAGGGGTTCCATTTGTCCCTGGACTGTTCACATGTCCAGGAGTTCATGTGAACAGTCCCCACACAAGAATGCCACCTCCGCCAGCTTGAAGAGTCCCCTGCTGGCAGGAAGGATCCATCGCTTCATGTGGTTTACAGCATATACATACTCTGCCATTAGCATGTACCAAAGTGAATCTCGACTCATCACTCCAGGCAACATTTCTCCATGTCTCGACAGTCCATTGGCAATGTTCCCGTGCCCATGCTAATTGTTGTGTCCTGTTTAGTGCAGTCAGCAGGGGGACTCTTGTAGGACAATGACTCCTGTACCCCCATTGAGAGGAGATGGTTTTGTATGGTGTGGCAACTTACACCTTGCTGTGTACCAGCATTAAATTGATGGGCGATCTGTTGCACTATCGCCTGTCTATCCTCCGTTACAATGCAGACTAGCTGCTGACAACCTCACTCATCCACACACTGTTGTCCACGGCAGTTGACCCTGGCAGCAATGGTTTTACCGGAATCAATGTACTCATGGTACACCCTCAACATAGTGGTGAATGAAAATCCCAGTGTTTCCACTACTTCTGAAATGGAATGACCTATTTGTCGGGCCCCAACGATTTGTCCACAATTAAATGCCTCTTAGATTTTTACATTTTGCTTCTGACTATTACTGATACCGTTAGCAGTACTCTTTATCTTGTCAAACTGCTGCTTGCCTCATCTGCAAATCACTTTCATGCTTACATACAACTCAAAATTTGCATAATGCACAGCTATCCCTAATTCAATTGCTCTTCAGTGTATATGGGGTATGAGTGGCCACAATCCAACTGCATATCAGGAGAAACATAACCACTTGTAAGATAATTATGGGCCTCTAAAGATTTGTAAGCTTTCACTTGTGTAATAATTTGTCGTCAAAACCAAATAGTTTATGATGTTACCAAATTCTGCTTTAGGCTAAAACTCTTGATCTACAATGAAGATGCTGATTTCTTGTTGATCAACACCTTAACATAATGAAACTTGCTCTTCACATAAAGCAGCATCTTGTCCTGTCAGACTGCGAGAATAGTCCATCAGAAAAGCATCTGTTTTAACTTTGTCCATGATATAAAAGCACTGCAGTTCTATTAAGTTTAAACTGAAAAAAAGCACTGTCAACCTGTCAAATAACAAACCAAGTGCAAGCTAGACCACAAACATGGCAAAGGGGCAGAGCAAATGTGCATTTTATCACATGACATGCAACTTTGAAACTTCTCTATAGTACTGTATAAAACACTACTGTGTTTTCCTAATTGTAGTTTCCCGGTTTTTCAACTTTTAGTTGTCATATTGGATAACTCGACCCATTTCCACATCTCCTTGGAATGTCGACCTATGCAGATGAGTTAGAGTGGCATGGTTAATTGTGACATCACACCAATGTGTATAAAAACTCCAGCAACAGTGAAGACAACAAAGTGAAGCTTCTGCAAATAAGCAAGGTGAGTTCGCTATAAAAAAGGTTTTCTGGTGTTTTTGGTATGATGATTAGGTGGTTTAGATCATAAGAGAGTTTGTTTTGTTTATAAATAAACTAGTTCTGTTTTACTTTGTCAGTTCTTGTGGAGAATTAATATTAAGTTAGATTTAAGTTTCCCAATTGTTGGGAAAGTTTTGTGAACATTTGTTTTGGTTTTGATCTGGACTAATTATAGTTCTGATTGTTTATAACTGATTAGTTTCTTATCACTAATATATTTTCATGTTTTTTTTAATTAACATCTTGTACATAGTTCATTCATAATATTTGCAATAAATCTTTGTTTTGTTGATACAGTCAATTACTTTGGACTTTTATTACTCTAATCATTGTTGCAAACTAATCTGTTTTTGTTGTTACTTTTTCCTATTTCCAAAGTCCAAGTCTGGCAACTAACATATTCATTTTTTTGTTGTTTTTGTGTAATGCCATTTTGTTAGTTTATTTCTGGGCTGTTGAATGGTGTTTTACAATCTAACTAATATTTCTTTCAAATTGTTAATTTATCAAAATTTATAGTTAGCATTAAAAACTTTTTCTTTACTTCAATTTAGATTTATAATATTAAAATATTTTTATGAAGTATAAAAGTTTATAAACAAACCTCAACTGTTCTCAATGGATCTCTACCGCTAACTTGTTTAGCAATTTCTATTTCATCAGTTTCTTCTTGTACAAAATAATTGGGATAAAATGCTGCAGCAATGATAAGCTATATTTAAAAAGAAATGTTTAAATTAGATTCAACATAAAATATATAAACTGCAGATAACAAAAAAATAATAATAATAATAATTAAAAAAAAAGCACAAATTAAATAACCTTAGAAGTTTTTTTTTATTACATATTTTAGTGTAGGTCTTAATCAAGTATTAATTGTAAATAAATCATATAAATATTTTACATATTACGAACTAGCCTTGTGAAGTTATAAAATTAACTTAGTATAAAGCAAAATCCACACAAGATATAACATGACTTATAAGTTAAACATAAAAACAACAAACAAATTAATTTGATTATTTAGTTGTATTTTACTTTTGTATAGCCTATAAACAATTTAAAATCAATGTAAGGTGCATAAAAAAATCAAATAAACAAATCAGTTGATTTAACTTCTCTCATTTATTACTATTAGCACAAAGTTTTACTAAATAGTTATAGAATACAGATAAATTGAAATCATGAATATTGTTATCAGTTGTTTAATGTCCTCAGAAACAACAAGTCCCAAAACATGTAAGTTAAAATATAGAACTTTACTTATTGTAACCTTAGATAGGCTATAATTATCGTTATCTTCAGGAAAATATGCAAAAAAGCTGCCCTTTCTTGTTATTTTCCTTAACATGTATATGATAACATTCAATCATAATCAGTTACTGTGAGTCTCATTCAGTGCTTTAAACATGATTTTAATCATCTGTCCACAGTATAGCATTTATCACTGCTATACCATGAGCAGATAATTAATTTATTACTTCAATTATGCACTATCAGTTGTTGAAGTACTGTAAAAAGTAGTAGGCATAAAAACAACACTGAATGAACTATTATTAATTATTAAAGTTAATAAGCATTCAAGTTACACATTTTTAGTTGTTATAACAGTTCTTTTAATATCAGAGTAAATAAAACCAAAATTTCCACTAATTATAATTAATATTTATTTACTTCATTCAATGTTATCATTCAATTATCATCAGTATAGCAAGTTCCAAAATGATTTCAATAAGCGGATTCTACTGTATTAGATTTTAAAATTATTTCAAAAATAAGACGCCATAAATTGTTTTTTAAAAAACAAAATATTCACACACATTACTTTTACTAAGAAAAACTCCTTATGTATTTAGTCCAAAAAATCAAAAAATTGACTTCATCATTTAATATAGATTCTAATGTCTCTCTCTCTCTCTCTCTGCTAAATAATCTTTATAATATTCTAAATATTCAGGAGTTTGCATACAATATAAAGAAAAAAAATTACTTTTTTCATATTATTTTTGCAATTTGTTGGATAAAGATAGAGCTAATCTAAACAAAAAACAATTATTTATATGGCTTGAAATAGTGATAAAATGGATACAAAGATCTAACTGTACCTGCACAATTCACAACATGAAACAAAATTATGTACTATGAGAACTTTAGAATTGTAGCAGAAGTTCAGAAGCTAATATATATAGACTATTTATTTTGAAAGTGATGCAAGTCCATTTTTTGTTGTTTTGAGAAAATTAAAGGTTAGCATATTAGTCAATTCAAAAATATAAATTAATTATGCCAAGTCTGGCAATGTTTCTACTAATTTATCAATATGTAATTTGATTATATAAATTTCTTTTAGGTGAATTTAACTAAAATAATATATATTTACAGACTGTAAATGGACTTACACCATTTTCATAATTAGTCAATTGTAAAAATCATTTAATTTCAATTATGAAAAATTAAATATCACTTAAAATATATTTTGTATTAATCCAATTTTGTTTATAAATAATAACAAGAAATAAAATNGTAATAAAATTTTAAGCTGCAATCTTCGGCTATATCTTGGGCTACTCCAATATTTTTTTTGTTGGTGTGTGTGTTTTCGCTGGCAGCACTGGCACTTTTGTGTGGTGTTTTTCTGAGGACTGTGTGTCGTGCTAAATCGAACATTTTTGATACTAGATCAACTTCTAAAGTATATTTTTTTTGGTTTTTATATTTTTCAGTATATTTATTTTATTTGTATAAAATAAAAAAAAAATTTTTAACGATACAATAGCCACGATTATTATTTAAAGTTTTCATTAGGCTTAACATCAATGAAAATTCAACATGAAGTGACACGCAACGGAGAAAAATTTCAACATGGGATAGGTTAATATATTTTTTCATAGATAATTAGTTATCCGAACAACCCCAAGTCCCAACTGATTCGGATAAACAACGCTCTACTGTAGTGTTGTTTATTTTCAACATTAAAGATATTTACTTATTGTTAAAGTATTTTATGATAAGTTTATCATCATTATGAGCTTATCATTAGGCACTGCTTTTCATTTAGGCTCATTACATGGATTTTTTTTCATTTCATTTATTTCCATTCTATCAAATTGTGCTTTTGTTGGTAAAATGCAGATGTAATTTATGGACAGCCCATAAGTGCTTAATTAGACTGCAGAAAATGGACTTACACCACTTTCAAAATAAATGGTCCATATATTAAATTATACACAAAACTTAATAAAAACAAAAGAAATGCAAAAAACTTTCTTAATCTATATTTTGAACATTTCAATAGTAATAGTGACAATTGAAGTTAGACCTGATCAAATATTAAAAAATCTAGCAATTAAAGTTGCATAATTTTCCTGACTGTTTTTATTTTTAAAAAAACTTTTATATTATTAAGCAAAAAGTAAAATTGTGTGTGGCATCATCTGTTATGAGATTTTGTTATAAGAACTTTTTACATTTTTAATTACTATAAAATGGCAAAAAGCTTAATTTTGATGGTAGGGATGAATTTTATATAAAAAAAAGTATGAATGCTAACGACAAGTAAAATTGTCATAAAGTCTGACCCTACTGGAGATACACATAACCCCCTTTATCTCTCCACCCCTAACCTTTAACCACCAATATTTAATAGCATTAGTGCCCCTCATATACAAACCACCATTACAAATTTCATTACTTAATCTATACCCCCGCCTGAGAAATTAAGCGAAATAGATAACAACACACATGGAATTTTTTTTGCCTTTTTTGACTCTTTTGGATTCAGGAGATTTGCAAAACTCTCAGAGGGTCAAATCTGACATGATTCCAATGCTTTCCCTTGTTATATATACATAACAGCTTGGAAAATAAAGTGCTAGTTGCAATTCAAAAGCTGAGAAAAATTTTCATAAAAAAGTATCAATTATGTCTTTAGTAACTGTTATGTGTATGTAACTTTTATTAAACAAAAGTAAATTATCATATTGGTTAATAAAGCCATGAATAAGCAAATCTATTCCATGTCAAATTTGCTTTTAACAGTTCAGATATATTACATTACTCCTACAGGTAATTTAATATATCTGAACTGTTTGTATAATTACAAGAATTGACAGTTAAGTGGAAAATAGTGTGTATAAAAGAAAATCAAACATTAGATTGGAAAATGTTGGACAAGTAATTTTTTGAAAATTTTTTAAAATTTATGAAATCCATTATAAATAATTCCTTGTCAATTTGTATTTAATGGTCTCTGTATTTTCAAGTTGTCCTGTTTTTGTTGTTAGTTTGATTTTAAACAATATAAACTAATCTGTAGATAATAAGTTAAGAAAATAAAGAATATGATGGATTAATTCCTCAATTATATATTTTATTGAAAACTTCTTACTCCACAAAGTGAAGCCAGAATTATGATGCAGATAAGGACAAATATCAATTTGTCTGAAACTAAGACATTTAGTAAATTGTTTACACAAATGATCAAAAATCTATACATTACATTAACTTTCTGACATAAGCAGAAGTAAATTTAAAGAATAATTCTTTGCAAATAATTTCACTATCTAAAATTGTTATCAATATCACAATGGTAACAACTTGTATAGTAAAAAATTTCTAATATAACTGCATGAAAATTACAAATATGTCTTACAAATATGATATATTAACAAAATTGCAAATCAGATTAAATCAATATCTTGCACACACTAAATCTTAAATTGTCAAATCTTGTAATAACTTTAAATTATATATTTTTTAAAACAAAAAAACTTCGTCATTTTTAGTTTAAATTTTTCCATCGACCCCCCCCAATAATATTACATTGACCACTTTGGCGACCCATGAATTACAGTATGTTTTGGTTTACTGAATAATATTAAATACAACCCTAATCTATANCAAATCAGATTAAATCAATATCTTGCACACACTAAATCTTAAATTGTCAAATCTTGTAATAACTTTAAATTATATATTTTTTAAAACATAAAATATTGAGTTGTTCGGAAACTAATTTCATTTTTTTACCACTAGAGAGATTAGTTGTATTTTTACCTGCCATTTTCATTCAACCATATTGACATTATATATTTTGACAGCTGACATTTTAAGGCTTATTTGTAAAAAATTTTGTTTGATTTTGTGCAATTGTTTTTGTTTTTTTGGTGTCCCATCAAATATGGAAGAGCAAAAGCAACATTTTCGGCATATTTTCTTCTTTTATTACTGAAAAGATAAGAATGCTGTTCAAGCAAGAAAAAATTGTGTGACATATATGGAGATGGTGTGTTAACAGAACAACAGTGCCAAAACTGGTTTGCAAAATTTAATTCTGGCAATTTCAATATTGAATATGCGCCACATTCTGGAAGACCAGTTGAAGCTGATAAAGACAAAATAAAGGCATTGATTGAAACAAACCACTGAATAACAACATGAGAAATTGCTAAGAGATTAAATTTGTACAATTCAACCATTTGTGATCACTTGAAATGACTTGGTTTTGGTTTTGTTTCAAAGCTTGATATATGGGTTCCTCATGTTCTAAAGAAAGAGATTTGCTCTGTCACATTAACATCTGTGATTTGCTTCTCAAATGTGAGGAAAATGATCCATTTTTGAAACAAATCATAACTGGTGACAAGAAATGAATTGTATACAACAATGTCAAACACAAACAATCATGGAGTAGAAAAGATGAGCCAGCTCAGAGCCGGCACTTCAAAAGCCAATATTCATAAAAAAAGTGATGCTCTCTGTTTGGTGAGATTTTAAGGAAATTGCTTTTTTTAGCTTCAACCAGACAATTCCACAATTGATTCTAAAGTGTACTGCTATCAACTGGACAAATTGAATATTATCATCAAACAGAAAAGGCCAGAATTGATCAACAGAAAAGGTGTAGTGTTTCACCATGATAATGCCAGATCTCATACAAGTTTGGTAACTAATCAGAAGCTGTTACATCTTGGATGGGATGAAACCAGTGCTACCACATCCATCATATTCACCTAATCTGGCACCCTCAGATTATTACTTATTCCAATCTTTACAAAATTTTTTAAACAGTAAAACATTTACTTCAAATGAAGATATCAAAAATAACTTGGATCAGATTTTTGTAAGCAAAGATCAAAAATTTTATGAGCATGGAATCATGCTACTACCAGAAAGACAGCAATAGGTATTGGACCAAAATGGTCAATATATAATTGAATAAAATATTTTTATATTATAAGTTGTTTTTTTTATAATAAAAAACAAAATTACTTTCCGAACAACCCAATAGTTGATATATTCTAAAGATATATTGTATCCTAATAATACATAATTATATTTTATTGTAAATTATTCTCATTTAGATGAAACATAAAACAATATAAACTGAACCAAAAATAAATGAAATATAAATTACTTTAATTATTAAAGAATCTTCAACAGTTTGCCTCCTTGCCTGGTGTGATGCTTTTATATTTAGTTTTTCTAAACGAGTTTTCAGTTCATTGACTAAAATTTTAACCTGCAGAAACAAAATAATCATGATATGAATAAATTCAAAAACTACATAAAAAAATAAATTTCATATAAAAATAAACTTACTTCTTTTATCTTTTTTATCTGAATAAAATTGGTTTTCCCCCATTCTTCTTCTTTTTGTTTGTTTTTAGAAAATCTAAAATGGCCACGTTGGGTAGTTTCATCCCATAACTGAAAATTAATATTTAATATACTTATAAAATCAAATTTATTTTTATTTTATTTCATTAAATTTACAGGAAAAGTCTGATTAGACATTTGATTTCCATCCCCTAAAAAAACTTATATCATAAAACAAACAACAACCCCTAATGCATAAAGGGGGAACAAACATCATCGTCTTAAAAAGTAATACGATGCTTTTTTACATTTCACACATTTCATTTCATATAAAAATGATCAAAATTATTAAAGTTTTGCAATATATGGTAAAATAAAGATTGTTGGGATAGATTTAGATGAAAAATGATAGTAAAAACATAAGTAAATGATTTAAATTTTCAATTGGCTATTAATATGCCTCAAAACCAAACTTATCATAATGACCACAAATGACTTTAAAGGTGACTGCTTTATCATTTCAATCTTATTGACTCCAATATGCATTTTGGACATATACATTCATCCCTCTTCAAAAGGGTACAATATTATATCTACATAGACATTAACAAAAGAATAAGCATCATCTTAACATTTACAACAACACATATGTTCTATTCTAAGCTTTTACTTACAATATTTAGTTAACATTTAAAACCCCCCATTTTATTAATAGGTTTTGATTTTATCTATATTTTACCCCGTCTTTATTATAAAAAAAAAGGATGTAAAATTTTAGCTGTTAACTAAATATTGTAACTAAAAACTTAACATTAATCAGAATAATGTTGGATTATAAAAATTCAAATAAACAGGAAAACTAAAGAAAAAATAAAAATACAACTTCTGTTATTCGCTATTTCATTTCACTTATTTTAATTTTTTTTTATAATATATTTGATCATGATCAGGATAAAAGTGAAGAAAAAGTAATAGTTTACTGCAGAAAATAAATGAAAATATGAATAATGAGAATGTCAATGTATAAGTTGAAAAAATAAAATGAGAATTATGATGACAAAACAGTTTATAAACTGGTCCATAAATGAAAATACAGTAAAACTTCTCTAATTCAAATATTTCTTTAACTTGAAGAAAGTGAAGCACTTGGCACTTGGAAGGAAATTCAAGTTGGAGATATTAGTCCCCAACTTGAATTTCCTTCACTTAAATTTTAATATTTATTCTATCCAAATTGATTCTAATTATCAGGTTTCCATGAAATTTTCACATGGTTATCTACTGTCTAAACACCCATTTGAAAACAATGTTCCAGTCCAAAGCAAGAAGACCTTTCACTTTATCTCAACAAGATGTACCTGCAAATCTGTTTGATTTCATTAGTTACATTGAACATTTGGCTGAAAGGCATTAAATGAGCTTAGACAGCTTGTTTGATAGTTTTTGTTTTAAACAAACAAAAACTATCAAAGATTTTTTATATAATGCAAGAGAGGTAAAAATACAAATCTATTCAGAATCATCATTTTTCACTCTATTGTTCTCTAACTTGAATCATCTGTAAATCAGTTTTTCCTGCCCCTTGGAGCTTCAAGTTAGAGAAGTTTCACTGTATGAGGAGTCCCAGAAGAAAGCAAGAATTATACATAATAAAGGAATGAAGACTTTGAAAGGAGTTTATCAATAAATGGAGTAACAAAATGAGACAACAGCAATGGATATAATGCTTGGAAAATATTAAACATTTTCCAAGCATTATATCCATTACATTACAGCAAAGGAAAAAAAATAAAAATGAGAGGTAATAAAACGTCCAGTCCTGAGTTAACTCGGGCATGTTACATAGCATTACAAAAAATGCAGTCCTTTCGGCCCCCCAAATTTTTTTTTTGATTTTTGGAATGTTTTTTAAGTCTCCAAATTTTTTCGAAAATTTTTACCCGCACAAAAAAATTTTATTGTGATTTTAATTAGCCTTTGATAAAACTCGATTAAGGCTTAATTGTTTTTTAATGGGATTTTTTTTATCAAAATTAATTAATCGTTCTAAAGTTGTAGTGCATGGATTTTACTTTGGTAAAGTTATTTAAAGCTACTTTCTGATGTCAAAAACGACCTCCGATAGTTTTTTAATTTTTTTAATTAATAGATTTTATTATATATAAATTTAATTAATTAGGGGGGGTCGGAAATCGCAATAAAATTTTTAATTTTTTAAAAATATTTAAAAATATAGGCCTAATTAGTATTCACCCTATTTTAAACCCTTGTCCTCCCGAGACATGAGAATGTCCCGGGAAATCTGACTCCAGCTGTTCTCAAGGTCATCCAGCTGTGTAAACAATGATTCATCAGTGTCAAATTTCACAGAAAGGCGAGACAAAGGAAAATAAAATTTGAAGCTTTTTCTTCAAAATTAACGCATTTCTTTCATTTTTTTTTCAGTTTTAAGTATTTTTTATGCTTAATTACATTATAATTAATAACAGGTCGGCGTTAAGAGGTTAATTATACTAAATAAAACAATAAATCATTGATTTATTATATTAATTTTTTATTTATTTATAATGTTCTCTTTTAACAATAATACAGTATTTAATTATAAGGTTATATTTATATATTTTATTCAAATAAATATCCATTGTAGAAAAAATTCTATTTTACTCAGTTTTACTATTATTAAAATTTTCAGTTTACATTAAATGCTCCAAATATTGGATAACAGACTAGAGTATATATCATAGTCAGAAGGTCTCTTCTAATTTAGAATTATTATTATTAAAATCTTATACCATGTTTATATATGTCTGTCATAAAACACTACTATTAAGATATTAAAAATTTTATTAAATATGCACCCATTTTACTTACTTTATATGCATTCAGATATGCTATGCAGTCACTAAATGTTCCATGAGACCATGATAAACGAGATCTAAAAATAAATATATATGTTTAATAGAAAATAAATAAATAGTTTAATATATATAGGAATTTAAAAATTATATCAACAACCTATCCTTTATGCTATAATATTTTGACATACTATGGAAGTTAGATTAAATACCATAAAGTATATATAGACTAAACTTCTTTCAGTTTTCCATGATTTATAGCAGATGAGATCCAACTAGACTTGCTTCAAGAGCCACATTTAAGGAGTCAATATTGGCCAGAATCAGTAACATAACACAATATAACACTATGATGTTAATAATACTATAACTATACTACATTTTGATAATTAAGTTATTTACTGGAAGGATGTTGATTTAATGCAACTTACAGTATCCTTCTTAAATAATATCTTCACGAGTATGATTAAATTAACAACATGATGAGTATGATTAAAAAAAAGACCCTCTTAATATCTTCAGGACAAAGAGTAAAAAAAATTCATTTTTAAAAGAGTATTGACATATAATCTTAGTTTTCATTCAGAATCTCTGAATCATTAGATATGATGCAAGAGCCACATTGTTAATGTTTGAAAGCTACATGCAACTTGCAAGCTATGTTTTGGCCACATTAATTTAAAAGGTTATTGAAACGTATATAATAAAAAGTTGTCAAACAGTTTATGTTATTTATTGTAATCTATATAAATAAAAATGTAATGTTCATTTGTTCCTAATAGCTAATCTATAAAAGTTCTTCATCAATTGCATTGAAATTTTCACAGAATGTTCCATTTGAATACAGGCATGCTTTTATATAATATATATATATGTCAAAATTCCCTCCATCTGCAAGTTAATAATAAAAAAAAGTTATTTTTTAATAAAATCTCAGATGGCACCACACACAATTTTAACTTTGTACTAGTGTGTCTTAGTTTTTCTTAAACAAATATTTTTCACCTGAAAAATTATAAAATATTTAGCTATTAAAAGCTTAAAAATTAATTAAATCATATTTACAATTCCATATTTTTTTGTTGACTATTGCCATATAGTTCGAGAGACATTTCTGAGAATGAAACTTCAGTTCGAGACATTGAACTTACAGGAGATTCGCTCTCTTAACAATATTTTCTCACGATCCAACTATGTGATAAGAGCGAAAATACTATCGCATACATTTTAAACAGAAAAATATTAGAATTATTTTTAAAGGTAATTTGATGTTTAAAGAGGAATTAATCTATATAAATAAAATTGTAATGTTCATTTGTTCAATGTTCAAAATCTTAAATCTCCAAATTCACCGACTGCTTTCAAATTTTGACAACATTGCATTTGAATTCATGCATGTTTTTATATACAGTGGGTGATCAGTTAATGAACATAATCCGTTCCAAGACTTTGTTCGTTATCCGAATTGTTCGTTAACCGATTATCGATTTTCCATAGGTTTCTATGGGAATTTGATTAATTCGTTCTGGAGACCTCCAAAAAATACAAAAATATAGACTATACTTTCNATCTTTGTAATATTTAATGAAAGATTTACTTATGTTCATTTTATTTATTTATTTATTATTTTTTTTTTTATCAGTAAATTAATATTTGTATACCAAGAAGCAGATTATTCTCTAAATTTTTGTCCAAAATCTGAGATCTATTCTTGAATTTTGTAAATGTTATTTTTGAGAAAATTATTTATATTTGCATTGCTTCCAAATAACAAAATTTTCTTCATTTTATCTATCACCAGTAAAAATTCTTTTCGGTTAAATTTTTGTTAAGATAATACCAAAAACTTTGCTTTCATTTCTTTTTTTAATTTTTAATATTTCCATTTGATTATATTTATATTTACCTGAAATTTTGTCAATACCTGGGATATTAAATGGTAATAAAGATAAGATACAAACTGGAATGTCTATTGAAATAACATACATCTTTCTTTTCCAGCAAAACTAGTTTTATTTGACTAACATTTTTTACCTCTTTTATAGGCCAAACAGAAGAGAATGTTTGTTAAAACTTATATTCTAAAACTGAACATTCTCAAGCAGAACACATTTAAACAGGAGAATCTCTGTTTCAACTTATATTCAACAACAATTTTTGAGCAGAACATTTTCAAAACCATTTGTTTTTGAATTTATTCATACCTATTCTTTGTACCTAAAAACTTCTTTCATTTCTGTTATACAGGTTTCAGACTTATAGTAAAATTTAACATAGAAAAATCACTCTATTTGAGTTTAATTTCCATTTAGACAGGTTTTACTGTATATTAATTACAATTAATGAATATATGTACTAATAGTAATCAAAATCTGCATACAACACTTCAAATTATAGTCAAATTCCTGAATGATAATACTGTCACAATATAACAGATCACTAAATATTTGTTCACATAAAAATAATATATGATATGTTATATTTGTGTTTGTTTTTAANCAAAAGCTGCAATCTTTTATCTTTGTAATATTTAATGAAAGATTTACTTATGTTCATTTTATTTATTTATTTATTATTTTTTTTTTTATCAGTAAATTAATATTTGTATACCAAGAAGCAGATTATTCTCTAAATTTTTGTCCAAAATCTGAGATCTATTCTTGAATTTTGTAAATGTTATTTTTGAGAAAATTATTTATATTTGCATTGCTTCCAAATAACAAAATTTTCTTCATTTTATCTATCACCAGTAAAAATTCTTTTCGGTTAAATTTTTGTTAAGATAATACCAAAAACTTTGCTTTCATTTCTTTTTTTAATTTTTAATATTTCCATTTGATTATATTTATATTTACCTGAAATTTTGTCAATACCTGGGATATTAAATGGTAATAAAGATAAGATACAAACTGGAATGTCTATTGAAATAACATACATCTTTCTTTTCCAGCAAAACTAGTTTTATTTGACTAACATTTTTTACCTCTTTTATAGGCCAAACAGAAGAGAATGTTTGTTAAAACTTATATTCTAAAACTGAACATTCTCAAACAGAACACATTTAAACAGGAGAATCTCTGTTTCAACTTATATTCAACAACAATTTTTGAGCAGAACATTTTCAAAACCATTTGTTTTTGAATTTATTCATACCTATTCTTTGTACCTAAAAACTTCTTTCATTTCTGTTATACAGGTTTCAGACTTATAGTAAAATTTAACATAGAAAAATCACTCTATTTGAGTTTAATTTCCATTTAGACAGGTTTTACTGTATATTAATTACAATTAATGAATATATGTACTAATAGTAATCAAAATCTGCATACAACACTTCAAATTATAGTCAAATTCCTGAATGATAATACTGTCACAATATAACAGATCACTAAATATTTGTTCACATAAAAATAATATATGATATGTTATATTTGTGTTTGTTTTTAATATCAAATTTCAAATTCTTACTTTTAATATAACTAGTATTTTTAAAATTTATATTTTTAAACAATGTTCTTTCAGAAATTTTAATGTTATAAAAACTAAATTTATATATGATCCATCCATATATATATATTTATATATATAAAAGGAACAATTTAAACTTACTTGTAAGCTTCCAAAAACTTCTGGAAAGGTTTTGCAAAAAAATCCTTTAAAGACAGACTAGCAGCTGCAAAAATATATTTATTTAATATTTCATGTTCAGTATTTAAAAATAAAATTATGAAAGTTTATACAGATTCACATTTTTAGTGTAATTTAGCATGAATGAAAAGTATGAAGAATAATGTAAAGTTTTTTTACAATAAGTAAATAGTGTTAACTAACTATTATTTCATATTAGTTATAATTTGAAATACCATAATTTCATGTAGGTAATCCATGATAGCATATACTATGCAGAAAATTGCTAGAACAAAACTAAGATCTTTGTATAACCCATCTCTATCCCATATCCCATGACTCCAGAATAGCTACTGAAAGCATAACACTTACTGGTATACAGTTTAAAAAAAGAGCATCTGAAGTATTACAACATTATTTTTCTATTTTATTACACTTCACCATAAGTAACAAAAAATGTAATACTGTAATATTGAAAGGGAGGCTCCAAATGTCATATGTCAAAAATACAAAAATGTCTTTTTTATTATATTGCTCATTTCTGTTTCATTTACCAAATATTATTATTAAATTATATATTGAATAGTTTGAGTATTTTGAGTATATGTCTCTTTAATCCGAATCAATAAAAACCCGGTAGACTTCCTCTTAGCTATAAGGTTAGGTACTCCTTTATTGCAATTCACAAATGCATTTTGGGCCTATATAGTATCTAAACCCCTCTTCAGTATAAATGCTACATATATAAAGAACAAAACAAAAATTAAAGACAAAGTCATTCTAAAAATATATTTCAGATGATCACCATTTTTACTTAGTGTTCTAGAACAAATTATAGACAGCTGGACCTTCCTTTTTAGGCTACACAACTGCCTACATTTAAAAAAGTTCCTTAAAAAACACAAAAAACCAATAAAGATTAAAAGAATTCTTCTTTAAAATTGGAATGGTAAATCTTACGACGTCCTGTTAGTTCATCCTTGTCCATTCGGGTTTCTGGCTCCTTTTATCTACTGAGGATTAGCACTGACAAATGTAGATTACACCAAGATATCCCTCTGGTGATTTATTTTTAGAGTGACTTCGTCTTTAATTTGTGAAAAAATTTGACGGAAATTCAAAAACAAAACAAAAAAATTAATTTACAAATTTTCTGCATGAAGGTGATGTTTACAGACAAAAATAAATTTTTCACATGCTTCAGAAGACAGAGCAACGCTTTTCCAATTATACTGGTACATTTATATGACACTAACTCTAATATTTTATATAAACCAGAAAACATGTGTGTGTATTGGATGACACTAGTACACAGGTACAATAAAAATCAACCTTAAAATCAATAAATATACATTATTTCCATACACACTATTACACTAATAACAATGTTGTATCTTCTTACCTATAACTATACCTTGTAAGGTATTTTTTTAAACTATGTCGTATTATTTAAAACGTTATCAGAATAACTGCAATTAAAACGACATGTTTACAAATCATAAATCAATGATTTAACAATTTTAAAAAAGGATAATACATACATCATGTTTTCATTATTTTTATCCACATTTTCCAACAATATTATTGTAACTACATGATACTTTCTGACTTATGTCACTAGGTATTTTTTAAATCAACTATGTCATATTTTTTTTTTTTATACTATCGAAACAACTGCAATCACAATAACAGTTTTACAAGTTATAAGTTAATGATTTAGCAATTATTAAACAGAGAACAATACATACATAATGGCTTTTCTTTACATTTATCCACAGTATCACATTTGTAACCTTCATACGACACCCCTGTTACAATTTATTTCTTCAAGTCATGCCCTCTATCATATTATGTCACTGTTCATCAACTTGCATACCATTAGATGAATTCACTAAATTATTATTACTATTTTTTATTATTTCAATATGTTCTTTGAATTTGCATTTATATATTGAATGTTAAAATAAACTCCAAAAAAATTTAATAAAAAATAATTTTAATATTTATAATATCCAATGATATGGATTTGAGCAATCACTCAGCTTTTGTTTGCTGAAGAGAAGTCTAAACTTCAATCTGTTAAACATTTGCTATTGAAAGTGAAAGCAAAATGCAAAAAATAATTTTGCGTAGCTAATTTGATTCCTACAGATGTTTTGCAAAACAATAGCAGCAAAATGACCACCAAATCATATGCAAACAATAAATGTTATTAAAACAAAAAGCTGATCAATAACAGCAAATTGTGTTTTATGTTTACTTCATTCATTTATCAAAAAAATTTCAAAACTAATCGTACTAATAGTAAGAATATAATAATATGTAAGAGAGTTTCAGATAAGTGATATTTTATAGTATTATACAAATACAGTCGACCCCCTATAACACTGTTGATTATTCCGTTTTATATGAATTCCATGTTGTACGAGTCACTTAGATTTTACAAATACATGTGCCAGGCTGTGAACGGCTCACGTATTTGTAAAATCTAAGTGACTCATACAACATGGAATTTATATAAAATGGAATAATCAACAGTGTTATGGGGGGGTTGACTGTAATGTGTTTACTTATTTATTTATACACATATCAATTGACATTTGGGATTTTTCTGCCTATCTGCCTCCCCAAATTAACAAATATACAAACATAAATATAACAAATAAAAGGGTAAATTAATTAAAAGTAAAAATTGTATAATTCCTTTTTACATTTTAATTTAACACAAGAAAACTAAGATACAAAAAAATCATCAAAATTGTTTAAATTTTGAGAAAGATGATAAAAAAAAAAGGAGCTTTAAGATACACTCAAAAGAAAAAATGGAGTAAACATGCATGATGAAGTCAGGTTTTTGCAGGAACATGTAAAAATAGTCAATCATAATAAATAAAACCATTAAAAAAATTTAAAATAAAGCAAGCAATCAAAATATTTGATATGCTAAAAAAAATGAAGGAAAACCTAATCTAATCCTTACAAAGTTAGCATTCTGAGTATATAGTAAATTTCATAATTTATTGAAAGATAAATCAAATTTCTAGAGCTCTTGAAAAAGTTTATCTAAGAGAAAAGGCAGAGCCATAGACTGAATGGGTAGTCCATAATCTATGAATGACTGAAAATTAGTAAAAAAAAAAAAAGCTCTTAATGCACTTTTAGATAACTTATGTTTACAAAATTGCCATAACATTCCACATCTAATAGCCAGGTATTTAATTATTTTACTGATATGATTTTTAAAAGTGAGTTTAGTATCAAAGATCATTCCCAGATCATTAAATAATGTAACATAACTAATAGGGAGTGAAATCATTAAAAAAAAGTAGGTAAAGGAGAATTGAGAATTAAAACATAACATAACCACAGTTTTTTGTATATTAATCCTGAAATTAGCAGAATCAAATAATTGTTTAACAAGCAAATATAGGCTGTAGAATCTTTAGATCAGAACTTATCAATTTAATGTTGTCAGTATAAGCTACAATGTGAGATTTAAGATGGCAAAGAAGATTGTTTACATATATTGAAAAAAAAAGGTCACTGAGAATAAATCCTTGTTGAATACCACATAAAGGAATAAAATTTAGAAATTCAAATTCGCCTATTTTGATTTAATCGCCTCTATTATTTTGATTTTACATTTTTGTAGCAAAAAATAATTAAATGTAATTAAAATATACCTCACAACAATCCTTTCAGCTACTGTAAATTTTCTAAATATTAACCACATCAGTGTATACTCCACAGAAAATTGCTAAAATAAAAATAAATATGCCTGCATCTGCAAAACTGCTGTTGAAAACATGTTACTTAACTGATGCAGATCATAATTGTGAAAGTGGCATCTCAGATATTCTGTTCTCTCCATTTTTTTTTAATTTTATTTTTATCAGCAATTCATTGTAAATGTAATTAAAAAATAAGTAAAACAAAAAAAAAAAACATTTACGAATGAGTCACAACTACATTAAGTATCAAAAATAATAATAATCATACTTGTTCAACCAAAGATAAGCTCCTTCAAATGATAAAGACCTGATAAACTAATCATCAGACCAATCAACAAGATGCCAAAATTGTCTTCTTCCAATTACTGTTTAAAAACTGGTTATGACAAAAATTTATTTTACTACTGTTGTCTAACTCTACACAAAGTTATTTAATAACAACTTTTGTCAATCTTACAGCAAACTATTTCTAAATTTGAATAATTTAAGAAACAATTTAATACCTTCCAGTCATTAAATACCTCTCTTAAAACATGTTATTAACTATTATTTTCAAACCTATCCATTATTAATTATTACTTTTAAATTAATTTTGTAATTTAAAATAATTTGTTAATTTTTTTATATTTAAAATAATTTGTTGCCTTTTTTAATTTTTATTTTTCAATATACAGGGTTGGTCAAATTAAAGCTACCCTATTCAGGAACTTTTTACAGAGAACCAATGGACAATATTTTGTTACATTTGGTTTACACATGTTTCAGATCATGGTAAAAACTATGAGAATAAGTTCTGAAAATCACCACTAAGGGGCATCAAATTTACAAAACATTCTTAGTCAATTGTAATTACCAGGCATATACAGCAGAGCATCTATTATCCAAATGCCAATCGACTGAAATGTCGGTTAACCAAAAGCATTCCAGTCGAACTGTGTTCTGCTGAATCAAACACTTTTGATACTAGATTAACTTATAAAGTATAATTTTGTTTGTTTTTATATTTTTCAATATATTTATTTTGTTTGTACAAAATAAGGAAATAATTTTTAATGATACAATAGCCACGATTATTATTATAAAAATTTTCGTTAGACTTAACATCGATGAAAATTCAATGCAAAGCAACACGCAACGGAGAAAAATTTAAACATGGGATATATATTAATACACTATTATTTGGATATACTAATATACTATATTAATAATGTATTTTTTCACACATTATCGGCTATCTGAAAAATCGATTTTCCGAACAACCCCAGTCTCCAATCGATTTGAATAATCAACGCTCTACTGTACAGGTTTAATTACTGACAATCAGTGTGAATTAAGCACTGCTGCAATGAAACACAATGTTGTTAAACAGGCATCCTCTGACTGTTAGCATCAATCAGAGGATGCATTCAATGTGGTGGGCATAGTTAAAAACTAGCAGCTTATACTGCAAAATAGCATTCTTAACTGCAGCATGCAACTGATCCGATGAGATCTATCGTATGTGCTGCAGTTAAGAATTACAATTACAATTGTCATCAAAACTGTCAATAATTAAATGTGTATGTTAGAAGTATTTCCCCCCAAAACTATTCCTCATGGTCTGAAACATGTGTAAATGAAATTTAACAAAGTTTCACTCATTGGTTCTATCTACAGAAGGTACTGAATAGGATAACTTTAATTGGAACCATCCTGTAGATTTTTCCATTTATAATTTATTTATTATTAAATGATTTAAGATATTATTATTCCATAAGTTCATAACAATGTTTCACTTTTTGAACATTTGTCTACATAAGCCAATGTTAGCTACGAAAAATAAAAAAAATATTCTTTGTATACAAAAAAATCTTTCACTTCCAGAAAAACAATTTAATTTCTTTATAGTTTATAATATGGTGCAAAGATTCACTTAATTTCAAGATATTTAATAATGTCTTAAATTGTGTACAAATATTACTTTAATTAATACAAAATAGATTTCTACAGCATCCATTTTAAAAAATGTAACAAATAAGTTAAAATAGAAATATTCTCTTTAATTTCCTTCATCTTGTTAAAAAAATTAAAATTAATGCTGTTGTTTGTAGAAAAAACTATATATGTATAATAACAATCAGGTAGGGATATTTTTTAAATGCATATAATTATTTTAGTGGTTAAAATCACCTTATGGTGATGAAAATTGTAAAATTTATTACTTGTCATTGAATTATAGTCATGTTTTAATCAACAACAAGAATCTGCTCATCCAAAACAATTTTTCAAAAGTTCATCTTTTGTTGGACAGAATACAAGTACATAATAATAATAATAACTTCTGGGTGCAAGCTCTTGGCACAGACAGATTATTTACACAGACACAATCAAGTAGCAAATATAATACACCAAGAGCTTGCAAAGAAACACAAATTATTAGACATCCATGAACCATACTACAAGTATATTCCACAGACAGTATTGGAAAACAACACGCACAAAATGTACTATGACAAAGCTGTAATCACAGATAAAACAATTTACCACAACAGACCAGACATCACACTCATTGTCAAACACAATAAAATCACATACGTTATAGACATAGCTATTCCAAACACTCACAATGTACAAAACACACGCACTGAAAAAATTAGCAAATACACAGAACTCACCCAGGAAATAAGGCATCTGTGGAGGATGGATAGGGTGCTTATTGTACCTGTCGTTCTCTCCTGTACAGGTGTGATACCACACACACTACACAAAAGCCTGGGAACATTACAATTGAGTAGAAATACATACATCACACTACAGAAGGCCACTATATTGAATACATGCCACATTGTTAGGAAATACCTGAATACAGACACACCCACTGACACACTTCTTTAATTTTAGTTTTGTTTTGGTTGCTATGCCTTGACTTTGGTCCAGCATAGTACACAGCTACTGGTGTGAACTGAGTATAACTCACAAAACATAACAATAATAATAATAATAATAACTCTCCCGTGGTCACCACCTGGTCGTGGTGGGAGAGCCCAGTAATTTTATTGAACCATAGAGCAATGCAGACTGTAGCATAAGATCCTGGTAGGGACACCCATGCCAGTAAGGTCTATGGGGAGAAATGAAGCTAAGAGTGACCACACCCATATTCTGTGGAGATAATTATCATGGTAGTAACCAGATCAAAGTGTGATACCGGCTCGGACATCCGCTGGGTTAACAAGGTCCGCGTTCGTGGGTTAGGCAGAGGCTCACGTTCAAAAAATAGGCCCAGTCTCCCTTGGTTACCGATGGCGAAAGCAGCATTGGCCCAAGCATGGCTACTGCAATGCCCTCAACAGATGTGAAGAATCAACCTAGCCTTGGTGTTTCTGTGGCAATGCATCCACAAACCACAAAGGCTGGAAAACCACGCCAACAGATGAAATGGACAACAGAAATGAACGAGTTTATCATCTGTACTTATTATGCAATCACAAGACTCGAAACAAACATGACAGCATACAGTCAACAACTACACCATAGATTCACACAACAATATCCTCACCTCACTGTCACCAAACAAAGGGTTGTTGATCAAAAAAGAACAATTATACACAACAACCTTATCCCACAAACAACACTTGAACTTATCAAACAACAGGTTGCTGATCAAATACATCAACAGACAGAAACATTTAACATTAATGAAGATCATTTAACCTGTCAGGTTAATCCAGCAACAAGCATTGATAATAGTACACATACAACAACTACCATTAATAATACTACAGACACTTTCTCATCCATCACTGATAACTTAGATATAGATTTAGTTAATACACTCTCACTTATATTTCAGGAAACACTCACTATATATACAGGCACAGATCCCACACAAAGACCACGAATACCGAAAATCAACATGTCAAAGGTAGTAGGAAAAACACTAAATTATGTAAACACTCACTTACTACCAAACTACATTCATTCAATTTCTACACTCTCAGACATTCATACATTAATTTATGCTGGGGAAGTCACAGTAGTAACACACCATGGTCTGAAAATACAATCGCAGACAGATACACACAAAACACAATTCTATCACAAGCCTGCCTACCTGGCAGAGAAGAATAAAAACACAAATAAATGACATTAGACAGCAATTAGGCAGGATGACACAATACACTAAAAACAACATAACACCCAAATTAAACAAACAACTCAAAAACATTTTCAAGAAAATCAAAACACACACAAAACATGAACATCACAACANACACACACACACACACACACACACACACACACACAGACACAGACACAGACACACTGACACAGTTTTTTAATTTTTGTTCTGTTTTGGTTACTATGCCTTGACTCTGGTCCGGCATAGTACACAGCCACCAGTGTAAACCGAGTATAACTCACAAAACCCAACATAATAATAATAATAATAATAAATGCTAAAATAAACTTGAAAAAATTAGAAAAATACTTTTAATGTGAATAATATCTCTAGTATATCTGATGTTGAAGAGCTACCTGGGGTCCAAATGAGTTCAGGGTGGCTCTTAGTAATTTCTATACCTATGTAAATAAGTGGTAAATGAAATAATTGCCATTAACATCATTGTTGTTTTTACTAAGAAAGTTTGTATAAACACTAGACAATTTTCAACAACAGGTTTGTGAATTAATTGCTTAGCTCTAATTCACTGTAGAGAACATAATTTGAAACTACCAGTTGGCTTTTGGTTTTCTCAGAATTATTATATGGAAAGGATAGAATTAGCAGAATCTTATCAACTTTCAAGACAAGGTTAAGTAAGTGTGTCTAATGATAACAATTAAAGTGTGGACTTTCCTATATTAGGAAAATGGAAAATAATTGAGTCATACATTGCTTTTTTTCCTTTCAGAAACCACTGAAGACATGTGTATGTCTTCAGAGGTTTCTGAAAGAAAAAAAAAATCACAATGAAAATGAATGTGTGAGAGACACAAATAATATTTCACAATTCTTACACCCACTTGTAAATTAAAACAGAAGCAATGCTGTTAGGCAAGATTATAATTGCAATTTAAAATTCACAAATAACTTATACCCTCTTTAAAGTGACTTTAAAACACATAACCCATGGATTATTCACAAGAAATTATGATACTTTTCATAAAAATGAAATAAAATATTTCAATCATCAGAAATGAAACTTGAATTTCTAAGCATTGCAGTTCAATAGCATAATATAACTGAAGTTTTAATTTTCATTAATATAGTAATACCTTGAACTTACGCAATAGGTGGGACCGAGCGATAACTGTGAAAGTAGGGGTATAATTTCGCAATTTGCATAAAATCCAAGATGAATGCATGTAAGCTAATAAATGTTCTCGTTAATCTTATCTCGTCTTTTGATTCGTTCACGGTTACAAGAAATCACCACATAGAGTCTTTCAAGTCTCCGTAGATATAACAAACACAGAAATAAATAATACAAAATAAATTGTAGCTATGTGTTGATTCCACGCAACATGTCCGAACATGTAAGTTGAACAATAGTGTGGGGGGAGTGAGTAATCAAGAGTTGCGTGGCACTCAAACAAAAGATGAATCGACAAGATTTGAACATCACGTAACTCCGGGTTTGCGTAAGTCGAAGTATTACTGTATACAAATTTCAAGAATTTCTAATAAAGAATATTGCACTATTAAACATACTACAGAATGGCATATTTTTATAGACACCATTCTCATTGTATACAGAAAAACAGATTTTCATTAGTTTCCATTAATGACTCTTACCAACTTGCCCCTGAAGTTTTAATTGCTTATTTTTATATGTATGCAAAAGTATCTTGTAAATGACTTTCCACTAAGTTAGACTTTAAATTGTGTACTTTATATTTTAAGCAAATACATATCTAAAGTTTTTCAATCAAATCAGTTAAAAAGTTAACTATATCTACATAAAACTAATTTTGGAGATTTAAATAAAGTTACCAATTATAAGGCAATCTTCCAAACAATTGCAAGCATAACCCAACAGTATAAGCTTGCTTATTTTTACATCCAATGGTAAGTGTAACATAACTTCACCAACAAAGGTTAAATCACCATCCTGAGATGTTATACAACCTTTTGTAGTCATTGCTAATGCTCCAACCTAAAAAACATTAATATAAATAATTAATCAATTAATACTGTAAAGGATATACAGTAGAGCCTCGAAAACTCAGCACTCCGGATAACTCGGCCACACCCTGGCAGGGCAAAAAAATCCTTAGTTAATTAATTTTCATTATAGACAGCTTTATGCCTCATAAAGTATTTTTCTGAGGTCTGCCTTATCAGGTAAATTACTGTACACAGTGTATTCATTAATTTTCATTTTCATATAGTAAAGGCTCTATGCCTTCATAAAGATCGTACTTTTCCTTTGTTTAAGGGTATTTGGGCAGTTTATTCTCTGTTGTATTCTCAAG